GAGACATTGAAATGGTACAGAAACCGGCAGCCTGGAAGACGTTTTTGGACTCTAAAAACGTCCGTACACAGCACAAGGTTTAGCAAAAAGACGTGGTGGTTCCAATCGTGCGTTGAAATGAGCGACCGCAAGTCGAAGTATTTTCTTTGCACATCTTCCATCTGCCAGTGACTTAACCAATTCAGAACTCGTCGTTCTTGGCCAGTAAAGAAAGTAGAAAACTATTCGCTGGTGTGGAAAAGCAGTATGATGCTCGCGATCATCTGTGTGTCGTTGCAGGGACGGTGGATGGCACTATTATTTACAGGTAGTCCGAGCACGAAACTGTTGCACAAGTTAACATGCTCGTGTTTCCACACGCTAAAAGTAGGAGACATCCTGTTGTCGGCGTGGTCCGTGGGTAGATGAACGGGGACAGATTATGCTCATCTCTGCAACGGAGGACGCAGCAGTGGTGAGATGGCAGCTGCCTAATGGAGCCTGTGCAGAAGCCAACGATTAGCTGGCAAGAGAGTTGTCGCCGCTGCTGGGACTCGAAATGCTGTGTAATAGACGCTTCCCACTTTTCCTTAGTAAGGTGTCAAGGATCATGGTGCTAGACACGTGGAAGATGCATCTGTTGTACTGTTTGGACACAGTGCAGGAGCAAATACGACGAAGTGTGGCAGTGGGCGAGCTGTCAATGTCAAGACCGAAGTCACCGCGACGAAGGGTGGTCATGTCGACTAATGCATCGAAAACGGAGACAAAGAGCAGGGGTGGAATCGAGGATCGAGAGGTGGTGGAAGGAGGACGAATGGCTACACCTTGATCATTTCCCGCTGGCGGCGCAAAATGTACGGTTACACTTCCTTTCTCAAATTTTTCATCAACGAAACAGCAAACTCAGCGATGGGACGCAGTGGTGATATCGCTGGGTGCTGATGGACTTGATTTCCACTTTAAAGGAACGGGAAATCAATTTGACGTGAGCTGGTCCGGCGTTGGCGCTCTTTTCCAACCTTTGGTACGTTTACGGCACCTCGATCACATTTAAGGTAGACACGCTTTCCTGCAATCGAACTTTTAATCGTAACATCATAGCCTTGGCCACGTGCGAACGTCTGCACAGTATATGTAAGTTGCTCCCGACTGGCATAATCAACCTCGGGAGGAGGAAGCATGTTATTGCGTGGTGCCCTGTCAGTAAACGCTGGAGGAGATAGACCACAGGCGTGAGTAGTATCTTAGGTATTCTTATGTACTACTTGCCAATTAATGGCCCAGATTATCAAGAAATACCTTTGTCAGAAAACAAATCTTAAATTGAATGTGGATTTTAAATATAGGATCTTGAATGAAGAATGTGAATTTTAAGGATAATGGGTGATAATTTAGCAGTTCCCTAATAATCTGGCTGCGTGTTATAGCACACTGCTTCGGTGTCTCTAGGTATGGACGAGAGCAAGCATGATCGAAGATCCACAATGATGTTCTGTGAACTTTGACTTCTCTATGCGCTCTCAACTTTGATGTCATTTGACAACTTCGATCTCAACTTCTGCGCTGCAAAGCTTTGCACACGATCATACGCATTGACTGCACTCTCTGAAGCCTCAAATAAATTACGGACCGTGTCTGTAGGCGGTAGCTTATGAATATGTGCAGCGTATAATGAGACATTTAAATCATAAGAATGCAAAGCGAGCAAGTTTCAAATTCTCAAAAAGATCTCAGGGTGCTAATCGTTGCCGTATCGGTAATCCATCACCAGCCACCTTCTACTATTACATATAATTGACAGGGCCACGGATCTTTACCTGTGTTTACATGGATTATAATTAAAACAAGCGATCCTGAAGAAGGGTATACCATTCAGGACGGGATCACTCAATCTTTTATACAGATAATGTAAGGTGTGGTGTGGTGAGAAGAGAAGAATAGTGAAGGAGGGTCTTACATTCTGATTTGCACTGTAAATGGCTCCCTATTTATCCTTCCTAGGGGGCACCGGTATTGTAAGTAGTGATTATTTCGGGTCCGAAGGGTAAAGCTATAAGTGAGTGTGCGCAAGGTTGAATCTTAACTTTAACGGGGTGAATCGTTACATAACAATTTATAAGAAATTGTTAATAGAATATAACTATAAGAGTTATATTCTCAGAATATTGTCATAAGGACAAATATTCTGTAGCACTTACGAGTAGTTCCTAATTGGTTGATATAGGCCATTATATCAACCAACGAAGACGCGCCACGACAGACGCACGCAATGAGTGGTGAGCAGATAACTGATTTACACATTTGTATTTAGACATAGTTAGATGAAGATAAATAGTGATTTATTGCAGACATTAACTATTATAAATACAGTTCTACTTTTTACTTAAACCAAGTACTCGCTTCTTCTTACCGTCTTCCTCTGCACGTACGAGTGTACGTGAAGTTACGAGGCACCACCTTATTCTGTCATCAGAATAAGTAGCTTGTACTGTCACCAGTACAAGCTTCAGGGTGCCCCGTTACACCTGGTAGCACTTCGTAGTCCGTCCAAGGACCGCATTCACATCCAACATGATATGTTGGATGATGAAGATGACCAAAGCTTTCACGCTACGCGTGACGGCTACTCCCATTTGAGCGATGTCGAATGGGATGCGGTTGAACGAATGGGTTCAACCATGGGCATCCATGCTGTTAGCGTCATGCTAGAGGCTCTCAATAGATATGCCCAACATGCTAATATCGCCAAGTTCAATCAAAATGAACTTGACGCAGAACGCGAGAAAGTAGCCTTGCTTCACCAACAAGGTTCTCAACAAGCAGAATTGTTGAGAGAACAGGGTGCTCAACAATTTGAACTGTTGAGACAGCAGCAGGCTGCTGCTGGTGGGTCGATGCACTCGCGTCGACCCAAAACTTTGAAGATTGACATCTCCAAGTATAGGGGAGTCGAAGAGGACTCCCTCTTGAGATGGTTCGTCGAATTGGACGACGCCATAAGGGCGCGTCGCATCGACGACGGGGATATGCAAGTTGCATTTGCCCAGTCAAATCTGGCAGGACGTGCCAAGACTTGGGCACTGGGGCTCAAGTTGCACGACCCATATGCGTTTGGGTCGTTGGAAGTCTTCAAGTCGCGGCTCAGACAAACGTTTGAACCGCCTAGAGCTGAGTTCAGAGCTCGAACCGAACTCTTGAAGCTCAAGCAGGGTAAGCGTGATGTGCACGCTTACGCGCAACATATACGAAAGCTCACGAGTTGTATAAGTTCCAATCCGGTGGATGAACACACGTTGGTTTCGGTGTTCATGCAGGGTCTTGCGGATGGTCCCGTCAAGACTCACCTGTTCCGGCTTGAACTAGATTCACTAGAACAAGCCATTTCCATTGCGGAGCAGGAAGACTTCAGTCTGAGACAGGCTCGCGCCAGCTCGACATCATGTCGTCAACCGAGACGATATGACAACGGAGGTCCAGAGCCGATGGAACTCTGTTATGTAGAGAGCGAGAAGGCTCGCTCTACAGGCTACAAGAGGTTGCAGAGATGCAACAGGTGTCAAAAGACAGGACACTACGCTTACGAGTGTAGTGCCCCTCGTCCAGTGTCTCGCGACACTGGGCGTAGTGACCGTCCACCCATGAGAAAGGGGCAGGGACGAGGGTCCGCTGTTGGTGCAAAGACGCAACAACGGGATGGACCGTCAAAAAACGGACAGGATCAGTAGGTGCGGAGCACCCTACTGATCCAGCAACGTCAAGAGAATTTGTAGGCCTCTTGATGAAGGTTGCTCCCAACACACATACGTTGTGCGTTGCTACTATAGGTAATGAGGTCTCACTCATTACCTTGAAACTCGAAGTGACGAATAAGTTGTCCCTTCGAGCTCTAGTCGATTGTGGGGCGTCCAACAATTTTGTGCGACGCCAATCGCTAGAAGATGGTCACTTTAAATTCAGTGAATGTGACACACCTCCTACGAGGATGACGGTACGTCTTGCGACAGGCGCATCCGTAACCGTCATGAAGCGTATAGTGAAGATTCACTATACGCTAGAAGATACCCAATACGACGATGACTTTATCGTATTGGATTTGGATGACAAATTTGATGTCATCCTTGGAATACCGTGGCTCAGAAGGTACGAACCACGGGTAAACTGGCAACATCGGACAGTAACGATGCCTGCCGCTTGTTCATCAGATGGCCATCTGATGAACGTTTTGGAGCGTCCACAAGCGTGTGGATGTTCTACGAGTGAGTGCGATGGCCTCACTTGTGGTACGGTCGTTAGTACGACTGCACAAAACCTTAGTGTACCAAACGGTTACACTTCGGAGCAAAGTTCCGGCGGCTGTGAGGAAACACAGGCTGCGCCGAAGGTCCACCACTCGAATAAGTCGGGTGGACTGGGACAAAGATGTATCCCTAGCGGGGAACATCTAGAAGAGAAACAATCGATCGCTCAGGTTACGCGAAACGATAATCCTAGATCGACTGGAGAGTCTTTCGTAGAGGATCTCGCTGTGGTTGCGCAACCCCAGCTAGAGGAAGTAAAGGGAATAAGTCCCAAGATTACAAATACGGCGGAAATAAGTTCCCCGAAACCCGAGGGAATAAGTCCCCGGGAAGCCGAAGGAATAAGTCCTTCGAAGCCTGAGGGAATAAGTCCCCAGGAAATGACAGAGACATTGAATGTCATAGTCAATAATGGATCAAGTGTAGGCGCTTATACACTTGATCTGATTGCGCCTCCGAAGTTAACTTCGGAGATCACTCAGTTGCCAACGCTCGAACATAAAAGGTTCTTGCGTGATCTGCGTAGTGGCAAAGTCAAGCAGATCTGCGTACTCGTCGCTGACGACGAGTGTGTAGCCGACATAAGGTCAGCAACAGTGTTTACTGAGAACGAGAGAGTTCTCAGTAGTTCATCTATGGACGAGAGTGTCCTAGATGAAAAGACACGAATTGAGCGATATGACTCCCAATCATGGGAATCGCTCAAGACAAATCCTCTCTATGAAGATTTGGTTTGAATTCAAGGATGTATTCCCTGAAACTGTTCCGTGCGAATTACCGAAGGATAAAGGTATTCGACACGAGGTCGAGCTCAAACCAGGCTCGAAGTGCTGTGTCATGAAGCAGTGGCCACTGCCTCGTGAACAAGTACTTGCGATCGACAAGTTCTTTGCCGATCGTTTAGCTGCGGGCCATGTGAGGGAATCAACTTCCCCACATAGCTCTCCGACCTTCTGTGTGCGAAAAGCAACAGGAGGGTGGCGGATAGTGCACGCGTTCAACAAATTGAACGCTGCAACGGTACCGGCTCAGACGCCGATACCGAGGAAGGACGTAATCATTGATGGCACGTCAAAGAGTACCATCTATTCGTCCATGGATTTGACGGATGGCTTCTATTAATCCTTATGCGAGAACGGGATATACCCTATACCGCAGTTAGCACGCCTAGCGGCATGCTCTGGGAATGGCTAGTAATGCCACAAGGGCTTAGTAATGCCCCTGCCACGTTCAACAGATGTGTATCACATCTGTTGAGACCAGTACGAGAATTCGCGCCGAGTTATTTCGATGACGTATTCATCCATAGTCGAGCTATGGATGGAAAGTCGGATGTTGAGGTTCACAGGTACCACGTCCGACAAGTTCTTACAATCATGCGAAAGCATCAATTGTATGCAAACCTCAAGAAGTGTATATTTGCAGCAAGCAAAATACCACTTCTTGGGTGTATCGTTGCTAAGAGCGGTGTACGTCCTGATCCCGTAAAGATCAAGGCGATCACCAACTGGCCTGTGCCGGTTGATGTCAAAGGTCTTCGAAAATTCCTTGGGCTAGCGGCGTATTTGCATAAGTATTCACGCAATTACGCCGAGATGACTGTGCACCTCTCTCGTTTGTTGAAAAAGAACGAGAGGTGGTTATGGAACGCTGAATGTCAGCGCTCCTTTGATGGTATCAAGCAGAGCTTGATACAATCCCCAGTCCTAGCAATAGCCGATCAGGACAGGCCATTTCATGTGGTCTGTGATGCCAGCGATTTCGCAATCGGCTGTGCATTAATGCAGTACGACCTAGAAGGCGTTGAACGCGTCGTCTGCTTTCAGTCGCGTCAGCTGCAACCAGCTGAGCGTAACTATCCAGTGCATGACAAGGAACTCCTTGCCATGAAGTATGCACTCGCGAAGTTCAGAGTCTATCTATTAGGAGATAGACCCTTCATTGTTTACACTGACCATGCTTCATTACGCACGGCAGTGAACAGCACGCACCTTTCACAACGAATGGCGCGGTGGTTGTCATTCTTTGCGGAATACAACTTTACGGTCGAGTACAAACCAGGACGACTTAATGTCGTCGCTGATGCACTCTCACGTCGTCCCGACTTTGAAACAGTCGCGAAACCCAACAGTGAGACAGTCACTGTTGCGGTTATGACGTCCTCAGTCCCATCTACAACGTTGTATGATGATGTATGGCGGGCATACGCCCAAGATGGTGAGATTGTGAAGTTGTTGACACATCTCTCACAGCCATCTCGAGAATCGTTGAAACGATTATCGTCTGCGTATCGATCTGCATCAGATCGATACACTACTCGCAACGGTTTTCTGGATTATATAGCCATTTCTGGTGACACACCACGTGTTGTCATTCCAGATGATACTGATCTGCGTTTGCGGATCAGGTTCGAGTATCACGATGCTCCTGTAGGAGGACATCATGGCCGAGAGAAAACATATCTCACGGTGAGTCGAGACTTTTACTGGCCCCGCCAGTATCAGTTTGTGCGAAAGTATGTTCGCGCATGCGAAGTCTGCCAACGAGTGAAGTCAAGTCCTTCACTGCTTGCACCTTTACAGCCTCTACCGGTTCCGGCTGAGTGCTGGGAATCCATCTTAATGGATTTTGTCTTCGGGTTACCCAAAGACGCACGCGGGAATACGGGTATTCTCGTATTTGTTGACAGATTCAGCAAAATGGTACACCTTGTGGCTGTACCGGAGACAATCACGGCAAGTGGCTGTGCTTGTGTCTTTATCGACACCATCTTCCAACTTCATGGGTTGCCCCGTGAACTCGTATCGGACAGAGATCCACGATTCACTGCTGATTTCTGGCGTTCCGTGTTCAAATCACTCGGAACGCGCTTGAAGATATCTACATCTGATCATCCAGAGTCAGATGGTCAGACGGAACGTGCCAATCGTGTCCTTAAAGAGATACTTCGAGGATACGTACACTCCTTTAAGAGTTGGAGTGAGTTTTTGCCGATGGTAGAGTTTGCCATCAACAACTCGGTGCATGCGTCCACGACACATACACCGTTTTACGTGAATGGCTTACGCCATCCGCGTGTACCCACCTTACTAGAGTGTAACTCTGGTTTAAGGGGGGAGGGACTCGCGCGAGCAAAATCCGATTTGGTTCACGCTCATCACGATCTGACGAATAGGTCATTGCGTTTGATGCCGATATCGATAACATCGATATCGAAGAAGATAATGCCAGTGAGAGTGCGGAAGCCCTCACTGAAGAAGATGGTTCCAGTGAGAGTGCGGAAACCCTCACTGAAGAAGATGATTCCAGTGAGAGTGCGGAAGCCCTCACTGAAGAAGATGATGCCAGTGAGAGTGCGGAAGCCCTCACTGAAGAAAAAGTTGATGTTGCTGCAGTGCGCTCACAGCGCACTGAAGCTAACGAGTCATCAGATGAGTTCATACTGGCTCGTGAAACGGTAGTCCGTTTTGTGCAAGATTCCATCGCCGAAGCGGTGGATAAGCAAAAGCAAAACGCTGACAAGAATGAAAGGGCAAACACTCTTTGATTTAATAAAGGTGACTTAGTCCTACTGTCTACGGTTAATCTTCCAAAGCATGTAGTGACTAACTTGGGTAGCAGTAAACTACTACCCAAGTACATCGGCCTATTTCGTGTATTGCACCGCCTAGGCAATGCATACACGATCGAGTTACCACGTAAGATGCGAACGCATCCCACGTTTTACGTTGGTCGGCTTAAGCCGTACCATCAGTACGCTGCTTCTTCTGATGAAGAACGCCCTTGCGCTCAAACATCTCGCACAGAGCCTTGTGCTCCCGATGGTGGGCATCAACAAGGGTCTGAAGAGCAGCTATCTCATCCCGAGACCGATCAACAATCCCACGAGCTACCCTTAGCTCGTCACGAAGAGATGTCAGAGATCTCTCGTTCTCAAGCTGAGCAAAGGCAAACTCAGCTCGATGCTTTAAGGCAGTGTCCGCCATTTGGAGACGCCTATTCCGCTCATGTTCGAGATCGTTGCGTAACCCTTGCGTTACGCGATCAAAGAAGCTCTCGGGAACACACCGATCCACATGATCGTGTGGAGAGCGTCTTTCCTCCTCCTCCACCTCCATTAGAGGACTCTCGCGGTGGCCAGCGCTTATCTAGTTGAGCAGCTGTTGAACCACCGCGACGTGAACGGACGTCGGACGAGTTATCTCGTCCGGTGGCGCGGCTATCCCCCGTCCTGGGATTCTTGGGAGCCCCGCTCCCAACTGATGATCGACGTACTGGGTCTGGTTGAGCAGTACGACGCGGCACATCCTGAGCCGCAGAAGGACCGCCGGAGAAAGTCTTCCCGGCACGGTCGTAAAGGGATTTCAGATTGTCAATCCCTTCGTACATCTCAATAGAGATACGTACGCGCCACCACGGGCTATTAGGGAGGTAAGCCTCCTTAGGTGCTCGTGCAGAGTTGTTTACGAAACACGGGCACGAGTCTCCCCAAGAGAGGCAGGGTAATCCTTTCTCCCTTAACAGACGATGCAGCTTGTAGCGTGCACCTGTCGGGGTTCGCTTTTCAAACTTATCACGAGCTTTGATAAGTTTGTCGTTCCAAGCGTCACGACCTACATCCTCAAGGTTATGGATGTAGGCGCTCCACGCCTAAAGCAGTGAGGGACCATCACGCTTGTGATTCCCACTGTACCATCGATGTCTAAAAAAAGCATCGATGAAGAATTCATTCTCAGCGCGATAGTTTTTCGCGCTGGGGTCAAGGTGATGGATCCTTGACGAATCGAACAACCGTGTTCGATAACGATCACTCGTCGTCGCCGACAAGTGATCCATGACAGATTTTGGAGGCATCCATGCCTTCTTCTCGGGAGCGAGACGCAAGACATTGCGATCCCGCTCTTCCTGCGATGTGCCAACAGAAGTACTGGCACCTCGTTGCGAAGTGGTGTCCATAGGAGAACCGGCACCACTGTTAGCGCCCGAGTCTCGCGACCTCGAGCGCCTACGCTTCGGCGATGGTTCATCTGATTCATCAGATGAACCAAAGATGCTACGACGCAAAGCATCATCCATGCCACGCTTGGCAGGCGGCTTGGATTCAATCGCCGTCGATACGGATCCGTTTTCCGTATCAGGAGAGTACGAGACACCGAGCTCGTACTCTGTGAAGACATGAGTGTCTTCATGACCAGCGCCTGCATCACCAAGTGACACAGGCTGGGTCGCTTCAGCAACCGATGAGACATCAGTTGCTGTGGTTTCTGCTTCGGCGTCCGCACAGAGACGTGCGGACGCGCTCTCGGCGGCCTTGCTCGCGCATCGCATGGGCTTGTTAACCATGCGATGAATGTTGGGAAGTGGACTCGGACCAACAAGTGCAAACCCCGTCCCAAATGATTTGGGACGAGTATCCATTTAGTCAATCAGTCACTAAAGTGACTGATGGTTAAGGGGGGGGGGTGATGTAACGGGGTGAATCGTTACATAACAATTTATAAGAAATTGTTAATAGAATATAACTATAAGAGTTATATTCTCAGAATATTGTCATAAGGACAAATATTCTGTAGCACTTACGAGTAGTTCCTAATTGGTTGATATAGGCCATTATATCAACCAACGAAGACGCGCCACGACAGGCGCACGCAATGAGTGGTGAGCAGATAGTTGATTTACACATTTGTATTCAGACATAGTTAGATGAAGATAAATAGTGATTTATTGCAGACATTAACTATTATAAATACGGTTCTACTTTTTACTTTAACCAAGTACTCGCTTCTTCTTACCGTCTTCCTCTGCACGTACGAGTGTACGTGAAGTTACGAGGCACCGCCTTATTCTGTCATCAGAATAAGTAGCTTATACTGTCACCAGTACAAGCTTTAGGGTGCCCCGTTACATTAACCTTCTAAATCGTACTTATCAGTCGTGTCTGCATGTCTGTATGTTTGTAAATAACGCGGTTACGTGCATCTTACTCGTGCTAAATACGATCTAGCCAGTCCGCCCTCATTGGTCGATTAGCTTTAATAGGTGTCACTCTATGGCTTGGCCGATGATGTGATGCACGCACCTGATCGGCTTCAAATCAATCTAAGGTGAACATGAACACATAAGCAAATGCTCGACGATCATAAGCAAAGGCCGGTCGCGTTGCCCAAGCCTACTGTACTGGACCAATACATACATAAAACATACCGTGTCTTTATAATTATGGATGGGTGGGGGTGATTAACGAATTGGTGGAACCGATAAACGGCTATCGTTATAACACTACGTTTCATCGACGCTGGCATAAACGAACCCAAAGCGCATATTTTATCCACCATCTCTAGCCGCCATTCACCCGAAAAGGGTACGTCACTATGCAGAACTCGATTTAGTATTATGGTCTCGATAACTCTACCAAACAGCGAGCGCCTGAGTCCATCTTATTATGAATAAGTGTTTCAAACGCTACATTTTGTTTTGAGTCGATCAAGTATCTAGGAAAGCTCTATTTGTTTTCCTGCCAACAGTGTTTTAGTACGACATTCTAAAAAAATGATCTGAAAAGAATGTGTCGCTTGAAAACAGGGGTACGTAAATCAAGAATTTGAAAGCTCAATTCCTTTCCCTCCTAACGGTGTTTTAATTCGACAAACCAAAAAAATGATCCAAAAAAGCTGCTGCTTAGAGACTGAGGTGCATAAATTCCTTTTTCTAGGGGATTCTTAAAATCGCCAGTGTTTTTTGTAAAATGCCCACGTTCGGTGGCAGGTCCAAACGTCCTCCGTTTGTAGCCTACCCCTCCTCTCTCGCATCCTCAAGTACACAATCGTACATAAATTAGGCTGCTAAGTCGTGGTTTGTGATCCCACTCATCGCCGTGACACAAAAACATTGTGCCCCAACCAACAGCGTCATAAAAACATGTGCTGATTATATGATCAAAACAGGGACCAAAACTATCGTGGAGACACCATCCGCCTAGTTGTAGCCATTTTCACATCAACCCATCTCAACTCAACCCATCTCAACTCAACCCATCTCGCTCGCCACTGGACCTCCCAACCAACCAATCATCCACTCGTCACTCACTTTGCTGTAACTCCATCAATCACTAGATCTCTTGCCGGTCGTCATGGTGCAGCCCCATGTCAACGAGACGCTACTGGACGTCCACAAGCCCTTTACCGAGTGCGCGTTCGGCCTCGACCGCCGCCTCACCAAGGCTGTCGCCAAGATGCAGTTCGTGCACGCGACGCTCGTGCAGCTGCACTGCATTCCACTGGCTCTCCAGGGCAAAGACCTGCTAGTGCGTGCTCGGACTGGCTCGGGCAAGACGGCGGCCTTTGCATTGCCGCTACTGCACAAGATATTAAAGACGAAGGTCCAGGACGCTACAGCAGCTGCAGCTGTCCGTGCACTGGTGTTAGTGCCTACGAAGGAGCTCGTGGAACAGACGCGACGGCATCTGTTGGAGCTCATGTACTATTGCCAAGACACGGTGAGTCTGTTGGCATTGGGTGGCCAGAGCATGAACGCCCAGCAGGCGCTGCTTCGGGATGCTCCAGACGTGCTCGTGGCCACACCTGGTCGCCTCGTGGCGCACTTGGAAGCTGGTAATTTGACACTCAAGGATTCAGTCCAGACGGTCGTGATTGATGAAGCGGACCTTGTGCTGTCCTTTGGATATGGAGAAGATATTCGGAAGATTGTCAATGCACTGCCAAAAGCGTGTCAGACGTTTTGTATGTCGGCGACGTTAAGTCCTGAGCTCGAGACGCTCAAGCGCTCGGTGCTGCATAATCCAGCGGTCGTGAAGCTCGAGGAAGGCGCGACCGATGGGAAACTCCAGCAGTTTTACTTACCAGTGAAAGCTGCAGACAAGGATTTGCTGCTGTACGCACTGCTGCGACTTGGTGTAGTGAGCGGCAAGGTGATCTTTTTCGTGAACTCGACGCCTGCTGCGTACCGACTCAAGCTGTTCTTTGAGCAGTTTGTGATCAAGAGCGCGGTACTTAATGCCAAGTTGCCTCACAACTCACGTCAGCACATAATTGAGGAGTTCAACCGTGGTCTGTTTGACTACCTCATTGCCACGGACGACAGCGTTGATCGGGACGAAGTCGGTGACGAAGAAGAGGATGAAGATGACCAAGAAGAGGTAGAGGAGGAAGAGGATGGGGATGCTGAAAATGATGAAAATGAGGAAGAGGAAGTGGCGGAAAGCACAGATGTGCCGGGCGAGGTGCCTAGCTCTGAGAAGGCAAAGGTTAAAGAGAGCAACAGCAATGAAGAAGGTGGCAATTCGGGGGACGACGACAGCGAGAATGAGGACGAAGTCATGGAAAGCGACAAGGACGAGCAATCTGATAACGACGACGACGCTACTAATGACGTTGACGACGACAAGCAGAGAAATGAGACGGTTGGCTCGAAGCATGATCGTGGCGATGACAAGAGCTATGGGGTGTCGCGTGGTGTTGACTTTCGTGGTGTCAAGTTTGTTATCAACGTAGACTTTCCGAAAAGTGTGCGTGCGTACACACACCGAATCGGGCGCACGGCTCGAGGTGGTGCGTCTGGTACAGCCCTGTCACTTGTGGCCAAGGAAGACTTGAAAGAAGAGCGTGCGCTGAAGCGTGTGCAAGCAAAGCAGCAGGCTGTGCGCTCCGAGTCAAATGACGTTATTGCGCAGCCCGCTGAGCTGGCTTTCGACCTCAAGGAAATCGATTGTTTTCGCTACCGTGTGGAAGATGTCCGTCGTGCAGTTACACGTGTGGCCGTACGGGAGGCTCAGCTCGCCGATGTGAAGAAGGAGATACTCAACTCGGAGCGTTTGGCAGCACATTTTGAGGCAAACCCACGGGATCTGAACATGCTCGAGCACGACAAAGTGGTGGGCTCGGCACCTGTGCAGCCTCACTTGGCAACTATCCCGGACTATCTCGTGCCTATCGAGCTGCAACCACCAGCACCAGCTCGCACAAAGAAAAAACATAACAAGCGACAACGGCTCGCGGACGGCAAGCGTCGAACGGATAACGATCCGCTGCACACATTTGTAGCTCCTGACGTTAGTGGCGACAAGAAGGAGACAGTGGACGATCGAATAAGCTATGGTAATACCGGCGTCGGGAAGAGTACGGCTGGTCGTCAGAAGTGGAAGAAGCAGCACCGCAAGGGTTCTTTCAACCCCAAGACGATCGCCAAGAAGAAGTTCAAGATGAGCAAGGGTGCTACACATTAAGGAGCATGAACTGGAAGCATGATGATCGCCTACAATGTTTTAATCCTCGAACCAGGTAATATGGATACTTTGCTTGCGAAATAGATGCATAACGCAGTGTTTTTGTCGTTAGAAGTGTTCGTCCTGTGCTGTCTTATGAAGGTTTTGTGATCGACAGTTGAAGCGCGGAGGTAATCGTGCAATACGTTGGCTGGAGTTAACGCACTGCGGACCAGTAAGCAGTACGTTGTGAAGCAAGGCAAAATGCAGCAAGACTGTTCGGCTTTTTGCACGGATGAGAAAATAGTCACGGGTCTGCATCGTAGCTCCCGCCGTTGTGGCCGCTTCCGAAGCAGCTGATGTTGTTATTCGTGCTTCTGCCGACGAACTGCGGTACGCAGTACATTGAGATTGGAGACGGTGGATTCAACACGAATTTGCAAGGTTGGGTTTGTCGGTTTGTGTATTCACACGCTGGCCTGAATGCAAAGTGATGACCGACAGCTTTTGCAAGGCGGTTGCTGAACAAAGACCATAAATGGCAGTGTGGATGCCGCAGCTGAATGGGGCTGAACAGCACAACATCTACGCTAAGTTGTCACCGTGGCTTGGTCTGTTTGTGAAAGTTTTAAGATTGTCACTTTATGTTTATGGCCTACGACGTGGTCAACCGAAATGGTAAGAACACGTAGTTGGAGGGTTCGATCGACTCATGACTCCGGCGAAGGCCAGCACCCTTGGTGCAAAATTTTTGGGCTTGGCTTTGTGCGTTGCGGCTTGTTACGGCTAAGCGGAGCTACCTGAATACTACGTGCGTGGCAATGTCGTCTTCAAATGAGCGGGCGTAAAAGCGCGTGATCCGTTAACACGCTGTGACGGATTCCATAGCACAAGTACACGGCCAGCCCCACACTGAGCCAGATGAGTACACCGAGCCTGCGAGCAGTCAATTCACGAGTGCCAAATGAGCATCAGAAACGTACACATACTGATGTATACAGTCAATTGTACGTACCAGCCCTCGCCGGGGATACTTGCCATCATGTACACATTGGCGAGAATCCCAAAACACGGCACAAACGGTACGAGTGGGCACTGAAACGACGTAGTAAGAGTGCTGTGGTTGCATGAAACACAATCAAGACACGAAGGTGAGAACTACACGGTCATCGCTCGCAGCATGAAACAACAACACTGCGTACCTAAGCTTGCCCAATCGACAAATGAACACGAATGCAGCGAGTACCAAAATTGCAAACACGCCTTGAATCATCCAAGGAAGATCAAACGCGAAAGATAACGATAACGCGAAGCACGACAGCACATACAGGAGAACACGTTGAACGACGCTGGTGGCACTGGAACTTGGACGCATGCGCAGAAGTATCACGCCAGCATTAACGAAAGTGAAGACTTGCAGTGTGCCGCACGAAATCACGTTGGCCAGGAAAGTAAGCTCGAAGACGAATGCGATTGAAGCAACGAGAATGCCGGTCAAGATTGTACTGGAAACAGGCACATGCGTCCGACTGTCCAGCGTGGAAAAAAGTGACGGTAGCAACCCGTCCTTCGCCATTTGGTAAAAGATACGCGGTTGACCCATGAGACAGGTAAACGCGGCAGTGGTAAGCCCAAAGATCGAGCCAAACGACACGATACGACCCGCCCATGGTGCATTGTGGAAAACAAAGGCTTTCACAAGTGGAACCTCGTCGCCTAAGACGTCGATGGGTGCCATTCCAGTTACAACCAGTGACACTCCGACATAAATGGTCACGGAGATCAGCAGCGAGCCAATAATTCCTTTCGGCAAGGTGCGCTGGGGATCATGCACCTCCTCCGCAAGACAGGCAACCATGTCAAACCCCAGGTATGCAAAAAAGACAACACCAGCCCCCATCATGACACCATGGAACCCGGCCGGCATGAACGGTTCCCAGTATGTCGGATTCACTTCAGTGCTTCCGTATACCACCACAAAGAGCAGCACCGCAACATTCAACAACGTTACAAACGAATTAAACTTGGCAGATTCCTATAATATACGCGCCCAAAACACCATCAATCGTCCAGTGCGCATGAAACACTGTCAGGAATATGTCTAATACCAAAACAAGAGCCAAAGAAGACGTATACGTACACGAACTCCAGCCAGTAGAATAAAGGTACAGCAGATTACGAGAACCGCTGCAAGTATACTACACGATACGCCTAGAAATTGTACGCGCACGAGCCATAGCGGCAGATGAAGACCGACATGCTGCAGGAACAAGTGGGCATACGAGGCCCAACTCCGTGCAATACCAGCTACAAACACACAGCACAAAACCACCACAATACCGTCAATCAAGTCTACCCTCACCCCCACGACAAAAGCGACGTCCCCAACTCGTCCACTTCAATACCTGCCGAGATCCCGTATCCCAGCGTCAAATTCCAGCCAATAAGCCACGCAGCCAACTCGCCAAACGTAATGTACACGAACGTATACGCAGAGCCCGTCACCTTCAAGCGCACGTATACACAACGTAAACACAACCATCAGTCTCTCTCTCTCTATATACATATATCTACATAACCCCCAGTAGCTCCGACTCCGTTACCGGTACACGAGCTGCAAACTCCGAGTACGTGAGCGACGTAAAGACACAAGCGACGCCGCTGATGAAGAACGAGAGCGAGATACTGGGGCCTGCGATCTGCGCGCCCACGCCCACGAGCGAGTAGACACCTGCACCCACCGAGCAGCCCACGCCATAGGCCACCAGATCCACGAGCGTCAGACACTTTTTCAGCGACGTTGAGCCATGCGCGCAGCGGGACAAGGGCTTGACACGCCGCGCCGCTGCGAAGAAACGGTCCATGACGAGCAACGATTATTATGTGCGCTACGACGAGACTCGACGGAGCTGCTGGTTAAGTACGAATTGGTCGTCACTTTTGCTTTCGTTTTTGTTTTTATCCAGTTGGATTATTGGACGTCAACTATTGGTCGAAAAGAGGGCATTGGGTTTTGCTTTTTATCCAGTTGGAGCAATGGACGTCACCTATTGGCTGGAAAGAAGGCGCACTCGGATCTAAAGTGATAAACAGAGAGAGCGAACATGGCGGCGGTCCCGACGGAAGAGGAGCGCGCGCAGGTGCTGAGCGCGTACAAGGCCAAGGTCATGGAGCACCGGGAGATCGAGAGCAGGTACGGATTGGACAGATTGAGATGTGGAGTGTGTGTGTGTGCGACAGCTGCTTGGCTGGTTGCGTCCCCCGTTTGCTGAATGCTGATGCGTTTATTCGGCTTGGTTATTCTGTGTGTATTGTTGTGTATACTTGTGTGCGTATTGCGTATACTTTGTGTGTATATTGTGTATACTTGTGTGAACACACTTTTAGAGTGAAAAACATGCGAGAAAACGTCAAGACACTTGTGAAGGAGTTTAACAAGACGGAGGACGATCTCAAGGCTCTGCAGGTGTGGCTTGCGTGTGCGTGGTTGTTGACGACGGCGTGGGTTGCCTTACAGTCTTTGAACTAAACGACGTGTTTTGCTGTGGTGTAGAGTGTGGGTCAAATCATTGGGGAAGTGCTGCGTCAACTGGACGAAGATCGTTTCATTGTCAAGGCGTCGAGTGGTCCGCGATACGTCGTGGGATGTCGCGCAAAAGTGGAGAAGAGCAAGCTCAAGTCGGGCACGCGCGTGGCGCTGGACATGACGACGCTCACGATCATGCGCTACTTGCCACGCGAAGTCGATCCGACAGTGTACCACATGCTGAACGAAGACGCTGGCAACGTGTCGTTCTCAAGTATTGGCGGGCTGAACGAGCAGATCCGAGAGCTTCGTGAAGTCATTGAGCTGCCACTCACTAATCCGGAGCTGTTCCTGCGTGTGGGCATTAAGCCGCCGAAGGGCGTGCTGCTGTACGGGCCACCTGGTACGGGCAAAACGCTGTTAGCACGTGCACTGGCGTGCAATATCAATGCCACCTTCTTGAAAGTCGTGGCGAGTGCTATTGTTGACAAGTACATTGGTGAAAGTGCCCGTGTGATTCGCGAGATGTTTGGATACGCTCGCGACCACCAGCCATGCGTTATCTTTATGGACGAAATTGATGCCATCGGCGGAAGCCGTTATTCGGAGGGCACGTCCGCTGATCGTGAAATCCAGCGTACGCTGATGGAATTGCTGAACCAGCTCGACGGGTTCGACGCTTTGGGACAGGTGAAGATGGTCATGGCTACAAACCGACCAGACATTCTGGATCCGGCTTTGCTGCGTCCAGGTCGTCTTGATCGTAAGATCGAAATCCCGCTCCCGAACGAGGCTTCACGCATGGACATTCTCAAGATTCACTCCGGCCCCATTACGAAGAAAGGCGAGATCGACTACGAGTCGATTGTCAAGCTCACGGACGGTTTCAACGGTGCCGACATGCGCAACGTGTGCACTGAAGCAGGTATGTTTGCGATCCGTGCTGATCGTGAGTACGTGGTGGAGGAGGATTTCATGAAGGCGGCGCGAAAGCTGGCGGAGACCAAGAAGCTCGAGTCCAAGATGGACTACAGCAAAATTTAATGCACTGCTTGTGGGACAAGCGCTGCCATCAGCGAGGTCCGTGTTTTCCTATTTTGCGTAGAACGGTTTATTGCTGCAGTTACAACGGCTGATCAGACCTGGCATATACGAGAAATATAGGAAACAAACAGCGCTTGTGGACTTTGTTTCGACATCAATGTCAAAGGTGGGCTACACGTGATTACGCAATGTGGCTTGACCTTGTCATACTTCAGTCAATCCAGTGACTTTTACTAACGCCAAATGTCGCTCATTTCGGTACCGGTGCCTACATAGCGCATGGTTTTGAGCTGCTCCTGTAGCTAGTAATGGCAAAGTGGGGAAGATTCGGGACTCTTTCGATCGAGGACTCCCCGACCAAAGTCTCGTTAGCTCGGATAGGGCAGCCGGATTCTTGCTCGTGCGCTTCGAACACCAACAAGATGCAACTTCATGTCAGCAACGATGACTTGACGCCACACTCGAATGAATCGTGATGAAATGTTATCGCTGCCGAGGTCAAATGCAGTCGAGTGCATCACTTGTCGACCTATGACACTTTCAGATTCCTTCTGATCGACCGACGTCTGGTGTAACTTGACAACCAGCATCTCCCCAATTACTTCCATTGTCACCAAGTAAAAATAAAAATAAATAATAATATAATTAGTAAACCTAACTTTTTATTAGAAAAAGGTGATATTATTCATATGCCATATATTGAGATGAATATAAATGAACCTAAAATTCTTAATTATTTTAATTTTATTTTTTCTTCATTTATTTATATATTTTTAATATCTATTTTTTTTTTTAATAATTTTAAATGATTTTTTTCAACTTAAACAACAGAGTGGCAATAATTGTCTAACTTACAGCAGTTTGACCGACCACAACCACTCTTCATCAAAGCGCAGCCACTGCCTCCACACCTAGAAAGCCGCTCTTCGTGTCATGATGGTTCAATACTACCGCTGCTGGATACTATTGCCAGCAAGTACCTGCAGTGAACCTGAAAGAATGGATCCGGCGAATATACAAGATCATGCAAGCACCTGCTGCGTATTTGTAACACGCACCACACGCGCAAATTCACCAGACTTTTAGTCAGTGATATCGCAACAGCGTCTCTCCTAGTTCTGTTTCTCGCCATCTTCACTTCCAGATCCTTTTCCATCGTTGCAGTCGTTATTTTGTGTCATATTCAACCCCACATCGCCAATATGGTCTCTTCTTCGAGTCTTTCGTTTCTGCGTTTCAAGTACTGTTGACTTACCATGTTCGTCGCACACGAAGCCATGTTCAACTTCGTCATAATTGTCTCACTGTCGTCAAGATTGAAATGGTTGCTTCTCTATAGCTCAAATGGACTCGAACTTGGACCCAATACATTGTCATGCGCGCCAGTGCATCAAGTATGGCCTTCACGTATACCACATAATCCTCTAGCGCAGAATGACCTGCACCCTGCAGACCAGTACGATTGTCACAATACCACAACAACATACGCTCAACTGGGCAGCACAAAACGCCAGCTTTTTCACAAACTCCTTCGTAATACATGCAGCGCCATCCTTTTTACCTACTGCAGGGCCATATTCCCGTTTGCAAGCGTCATCAAGTGAGCTGAGTTGCCAGCATTGCCCAAGTGCTAAGCGTCATTCTCGGCAGTGAGTGCAACATCACACCTCAAAGACCCAAAAACGGTTGTGATCAGAATGGTTCGTAAGAAACGGCGATGCCTATGCAAGACTCATTCGCCGGCAAAAGCTTGGTGATATTCGAACACGATATTATATCGGCCAGTTTCCATGTTTGTGACAGTAACGTCAAAACTCGGTACTTCACCAACCACACTTTCCTGCTATGCGCCATGGATCTACAGCAAGAGCACACAAAACCACAACGATGAGAGACTCGTCGCCGAGACACACATCAACTCAATTCGCAACTGATTCGATCAGATGCGCTTCTGCACGTCTAATCGATTCAGCACAAGACCGAGTTGACCAACAAGGTCGTACCGCAGCCGAGAGATCGTGCCACTGATGCAGCACCAACGGAAGTTGATGCGTCTCTCGAGTCGTGTTGTGCGGTACGTCCCTACAACAGTACCAGCCAAATCACCACTACGTGAGAAGAGTCGTGCACATCGACAAGACTATCGCTACTGTATCGATTCCACGCCTCACCACCACGTGAGCTCGTCGAAATGATCTTCTACTTCCCAGATCCGGCCTTCGTCATCTTCATGTCGCATACCACTGTCACCCAGCACAAGGCCTTCAACGACATGCACAACATATGGACAGACATCCGCACTCACATGTCAAGCATTGAAAGGCTGTGTCACACATACTTCCCTACCGTCCCAACGCACCTGTCAAGCCCAAGGGTGCTAACAAAAGCTTCTGACCCTGCAATTGGACACCGCGAAACTCGGCCGTCATCAACGGAGTCCCACCAACAGCAACTTGACCGTTGCTATCCGCTTCTCCATCCACTTGATTCTCCTCCCGCATCTCTACTTCCAGACAGTCTTCGTCTGTACCATCGCTACGGTCGTCCCTTTGGTTCCTTGGGCAAAAAAACGTCGCGACAGCTGCTGCACCGTCATGATGAATACGACACGGCAACGAGTGCACACGTCCGTCTGCTGACGGCAGCGGACAGCGCGTCAGGCACACGCGGACGACCTTCGAGCCGTCGTGACCAGTCATTTCCGACCGAACTTGAAGTTAATAAACAGTTTGACCAATCATGTGCTTCAAAATTGGAAACGGTCGGACCGACTACTTCTGAAGTAGCGGGTACCACCACAACGTAAAATGTAGCTACACCTCTCTTTGGCTCTGTCTATTGCTGTGTAACGTAACCCCTCGGCGCTCATCGGCTTTCTCTGCGTGTAGGGAGCAGCCGCAAGTGATTGCACCAATGAAGCGCTCACGTGATGAAGCCAGCAAGGTCTTGGGCGAGCGGATGTTGCAGGTTCGTTCGTGCACTGTGGGATTCAGGTCTCTGTTTGGCCTCAGTTGGCTGGCAGGTTGTATCGATTCTAAACCGAGGAACTGCAGGGCTGGACCATGCTAGGGGTGAGCTGTCCTGTGGAAGAGTGCTACACGCCTCTTGTGTGTAACCGACAGAGTAACAAGGTGGGGACGCTGTTGTGGTGGTCGCGGTGGTGCTGGCGTGTTGACGAGCTGCTAGTACGTGCGACGAGACGCTGAAGTAACAAATGCGATGGTGGCAGATGTTCTGTGTGAGGTGCAACCAGTACGTGCTTACGGAGGACGAGCTGAAGCAGCAGCAAGCAGAACAGAAGAACGCTGAAGAGGTTGCAGCAATTGAAAAAGACCAAGCCGAGACCGAAGCGCGAGTCGAGAAAGAGCGGAGACGCTACGTTGAGCAACAGTTTCGCTTGGAAGAGCAAGCCAAACAGGCTGGAAGGATGCAGGAACTCGACCACGCAAGCGAGGAGGCAGGGTGTGGGATAGCACCGCGAGGAGCTGGTAGGGTTCAGCTGCATTGCTTTCTCCTGGATTTTGTTGGTTTAACGTCGCGTGTCACGTCATGGCAAACAGCCAAGCGCAAGATTGATATGACAGCGGTCCAAAGTAGCTCCGATAGCGATGCGGACGTGAATGCTGTTCGTCGACAGACACTCGCTGCGCTTTATCAGGTGGAACATCCGCATCTTTTCTAGTTCGAAGCTGCTTTTACCTCTGGAATATCGTGTGCACTTTTGAGGCATGATGCTCCACGTCTGACTCACTAGCCGCTCATCATGGACTCGTGCGTAATGTCAACATTAACATTTGCTTTGGTTGTCCTCTCTTGGTTGTCGTGACAGAAAATGGAGGCGTTGACGAACTCGCTCTCGCCCACCGACCATAGTGAGCGTCTTGTCTCCGTTGCCAGAGCCGTTCGAGAGATTGCTGAAGCGACACAGCTTTTGAAGCAATAGCTGCGGTCGCGTATGGAAGAAGTCGCTCGGGGAGAGATAGAGGATACGATGTAACGCCGAAGCAGTTCCCATTGATAATCATGTCGCTACCTCGCTTTTTTCATGGCCCAAAGTTGTTGCTGCACGACCAGGAAGCTCAAGCATCGTCTTAATTATTGTGCTCACAGCACTTTACAAAGTGACGGCTATAGATCGGTCATTTGGCGAAACTCCTCTTCGACTGCCTCTTGCCCTTCTTCAGCCAAGAGAGCCTGTTGATCCTCAGCGGCTTTTGTCGATGCTGTTTTGGCATACGACGTCTCTTCCACGAAGCAGTAGATGTACACAAGGCATATTGCCATAATACCACTAAAGCACGACGAAGATAAAGCGACGGTCAGAGACAACAAACGAGCAGATGGTCGTGATGCGTACCTGAAGATCATATATAGTTTGGCAATGCCATTCTTCTCGGGATCAGAGCCGTGGCCCAAGAAATTGATAGCTGACAACGTGTATACCGCGATCAGGATGTTGCAGATATAGCTGACGATCATGTAGAGCGAAAACGCTTGCGAGCGGATGTGAACAGGCGTGATATCTCCAAGCATGACCCTGCACAAGTCAGTTCCCGTGGATCGGCATGAGCTTCGTTTAACAACGGCATACAGTCAGAACGTAGCACATACTTACCATATGACCGCACCAAGACCCATAGCAAACCCACCAACGAACGCAAGTACGGATATCACTGCTACCACACCTTGCAACCGAAGGTTGTCTCCAAGATACAGAAGCGACGAGCTGAGTACTCCAAGAGCGACAATCATGATGGTTGATCCTACAATTAACAGCGGTCGCCGACCGTACGAGTCGACCAGGCGCGCCGATACGATCGTGACACCCACGTTCGTCAAGGTAACCACGGTGGTGGCAAAGAATGGGTTGGTCACTCCAGCAAAATGAAAAATCTTGGCTGAGTACAGCATCACTGTGTTTATACCTGACATAGCCTGGAAGAAGACAAGGATGGAACCTGCTGCTACGACCTTCTTGTGCTCCCAAAGGTGCAACCAGGCTTCGTGAGTATCACGTTGTCGACGCTTCATCGCCTGTGCAATTTCCTGTACTTCTGCTTCAACTGCATCTTTATCACAACTCGGACGTAAAAAAATGAGTGTCGCATGACACTCTTCATGTCCGCGGTTTTTCATGAGCCACCACGGACTCTCCGGCACGAGCGCCATGCTCAGGCACTGCACTAGTGGAGGCAACATCATGAATCCGTTGAGGTACCTCCAGCCCGAGGGTACCTTCGCGACGACAAAGAAGCCCAGCAAAGCAGACGTCAACATACCAATTGTCAGACTAAGCTGATGAAGGGCTGTAATCTCCCCCCGCGAGGCAGCAGGCGAGATGTCCGTCAGCAAGACAGGCACGGTGTTCGTCACGACTCCTGAGGCCAGTCCAAGGAGTAGTCGACCGACGTAGAGCATATTCTTTGACGTGGCCAGTGCACAGGAAGCACTTCCAGCGAGATAGAGTACATTGTTGCCCAGGATCATCGTCTTGAGTCCCACGCGAGCGCCTGCTCCACCCGTCGTAACTGCTGAGACCAAGCAGCCCACCACTACTAGCGCCGTCGCACGCTCTTGCTCTACAGTAGAGAGATTAATGTCCACCAGTAGTGATCCTACAGCATCTGGTACGATACAAACATTGAGAACAGCAGCACTGAAGCCCCACATGAAAGAGGAGATGCTAATTAGCCACGCTGCCAGGTACAAGCTGTTCGTGCGGCTACAGGGAGCAACAGAAGTCGTAACGGGACCGCCGCTTCTGCTATTACTATCGGCGTCTTGATCAGGATGCAGATTGGCGAACGACATGAGGCGTCTCTGCTCTTGTGGAGGCGGAATCGACTCGTTCCTCGGCAGCAGCTTCTCTCGGAGATCATTCATGACGAAATTGGCGATGTGGGGTTCAAGGGTACACCAAGTGGACACTAAATTGGGAGACCGGTCCCGAGAAACGTTCTCTCGGTGTTGCTCAGCGTGCATGGCCAGTGCACTTCAGTTCGAAGTTGGTCAGTCAGGCGGTCGTTCCTTGGTCCAGGAATAAAGTATCTTTTGTACCATGGAAACTTCTTCCGTGTGTGGGATCGCCATCTGTCCCTGCATTAGTGTCCACCTATATTACAATCTGAATGACGAGAGGTTTGCTAGCAACAGAAAGAACGACATGAGGTTGCGGTAACACCAGCAACATTTGTGAGCCAGGGGCATAGCATAAACCAAATCTCTCCCTCAAGAATGTCCGAGTTGCTTGTTTAAAACACGACGCAACCACTTTTCTGCAGCTTTGCACTATACCTGATGCCTCAGCAAGTGCTATCTATCGGTCTATTTTCGATACTTTTGACGAAAGCATCGGTAATTCTTTGAAACTTGTCAGCTTGGCAGTCTCTTTCGCTCTGTTCTTTGTAGCAAGCATTCCTCGGATCTTAAAACATGGTGTGTGTTCGTCGATAATGATGTCGGAACAGCTGCGATACGAGCAGAATGGTAGTACGTCATTAGAGCACAATAGAAAGAACTAAGCATCCTTATCATCACTTCCTGCTCCTTGTTCGCGCTCAGTTGTAGCTTCGTCCGGGTGCGGCAGCGTCGAATCAAAAGGCCTGGTACTGTCTACCACGAACATAGCGAACCACTAAACAATTTCTACTGTTATTGGCGCACGCACGCCATGCTAAGGCGCCGTCTCCCCTCTCGTCAAATGTTGCGACGGGTGTTGAAGCTCGCAGGGGAAAAGTGACTCGTGCTCTGTATGACGTCGGTGCATATAACGTGAATGCATGCCGAAGAGAACACTCGCTAACGCACGTTCTACTTGCCAAGTGTGTCCGGCCACTTTATTCCTGCGACAAGGTAGTTGTCGAAAGCGCCTCGAGTAGAAAGAAGACGCAAAGACGCAAAGCTCAAAGTCGACGAGAGCGTGAAACGAGTCCACAAGAACGCCAGGAGTAGCACGTAACTAGGCTGATCATGTGTCGGCCGATAGAGTCCCGCAACCCACTGTGTGTCCCTGGCCCAGCTGCCGTCGCAATGCTCGCTAACTACCAGCTCACCGCGATCAATAACATGGTCTTGGTAAACCAGAACGTCCAACTCGTCGAGCGTGCGGCCAAACCGGTTTGGCCTGCAGCTGGAGAAATGGGAATCGGTGCAGACGACATGACCATGTTGAATACGACTGCTCCAGCTTTTCCCGTTGTGTCGTTTCCAAAGCACGAGTCCCTTCCAATGATGCCGTGGGGTGCCACTGCCCCTACAGAAGTCGGTTTGTGTAACATGGGCATTCCTACCAACCAATTTGCGCCCAACTCAGTCCCCTCAGAGGTAATGGTGTCGTCCAAGATGACACAGCCCAGCTTTGAAGCTCAGGAGATGAAGGAGATGCTGGATTTCTCCATACCAAGTGGCCTGCACGACGTTGGGAAAGACAAACTTGACGTCGTGAACGTAGACGATGGAGGCTTTACCGGGACAGAAATGTCGATTCTGTACAGCTGCTTGGTGGACGGGCCTGAAGACGAGTCTCAGCAAGATGTTGAAGTGGATAGCAGCGGCAAGCTGGACCTCACCGTGCCGATGAGATCCGCCATTCAAGGGCTCATAAAGTCGTCTCGTGAGACTGAATTTACCAGTGCGGAGGTTATGAAAACCCCGGTTGGCTTGGAGCACCATGTGCCCGGCTTGAAGGATACAAAGAGCCCGGGGGAGGTCAAGAGTCGTCGTCTGTGCAAGAGCGAGGGATGCTACAAGCGCTCGCGTTCCAATAGCCTGTGCATTTCACACGGTGGTGGTCGTCGCTGTGCCGTAGAAGGATGCGACAAATGCTCACAAGGTGGCAACCTGTGCATCCGCCATGGCGGTGGCAAGCGTTGTAGTCACGAAAATTGCGACAAAGCTGCTCAGTCGAACTTCTTGTGCAAAGCCCATGGTGGTGGCCCGCGGTGCCGGTTTACGGGCTGCACGCGCAGCTCACAAGGTGGCGGCTTCTGTCGCTCACATGGCGGTGGCAAGCGCTGCGTGCTTCAAGGCTGTAAAAAGGGTACACAACGTGGTGACTATTGTTCGCTCCATGGTGGATCCCGTATGTGCGAGGTGCCCGGCTGCTTGCGTAACGACCGCGGTGGAGGTTTATGCGCCACTCATGGTGGGGGTAAACGGTGTACGGTCGGGAGTTGCAACAAGCCGTGCCGACGCAAAGGCATGTGCTCTGCACACTTACGCCAGTCAGAGGGTGGGAAGGAGTAACGAAGGGTGGACACGGTATGTGAGACTCCTACGCATTTCCCGAATGCGCGTGAGCGAACGAGGTAAAGGTGCAGAAGAAGAGCAAAGGAAGCTTGGAAGGACAAGGTGACAGTCCTTGTGGTGTTGGAATTCGATGTTGCATGTACATGTATGGTGAATTGTGGTTGACTGGAGACCTGGTCGAAAAGAGGACGAAGCTCTGGCATGCTATTGTTTCGGTGACGCTTCCATCGAATCGGCATGAGGAGATGTATTTGCAGCGTTCGAGCAAAGTTGAAACCCAGAGCTAATTGACTGTGGCGTTGTCCTCACTGATTGAAGTGACTCGAAGGGAAGGAGGAAGCTGGACACGAAGTGTAGGTGCAGGTCGTTTGAGTTTTGTTAGGGTCGCTCTTTTATGTGCAGTGAGAACACGTGTTTTTGCATCAAAAAGGGGTGTAATGTTGCCTCGTCTCAGACACGGTCCACAACTCGTTCGCCACAACTTTGTACAGTGTACCCGATCCTGTCCCAATCGCTTTCAATTAATTGTCAGATCGAGTCTGCCAATTAACCAGATGACGAAATCGGTAGCCATGTAATCTATTGGTAATCTACTCGATCGCAACGCTTTTGTATATTTAAGCAAGTTCGCTTTCCACCATGACAGGTGCCGACGACGCGATGCCTCGTGCCAAGCGGCTAAAGCTCCTGCGCGAGGCCAAGGCTCGCAAAGAGCGGGGTGAGACCTGTCACAATGAAGCAGAGGCAGTAGTAGATGCAGGACAACAACCCGTTGATGAGGAGGCGAAGGATCTGGACGTGGAGCAGTCGACAAAGGACAAGGACAAGACCGAGGAAGTTGTACCCAAAGTGACCCAAGGACCGGAGGAAGAGGTCACTAATGTGGAAGAAAATAGTGACGATGACATGCTAAATCTGGCACCGAAACGTGCGAATTGGGACATTGAGCGCGATATTGCGCCCATGCTTCGGAAATTGGAAAGACGCACGCAGCACGCGATTGTCGAGATATTACGTACGTTGAGGACGAGTTTTGACGAGGAAAAGAGCTGGGATCGAGGTGTTATTGAGATGTTTGGATGTGGTTTGTGTACAGGTGAGGAGCTCGCAGCACAGCAGCTGGAAGAAGACAGCGGTACTGATGAGGAAGCTGATGATGATGATGATGACGATGACGAGGAGGAGGAGGCTGATGATGAGGATGAATAGCTGCTTTTTTACAGCCGAAGTTTTGTCATGAGGTGGACTGTTTGTTGTCGTGATGCTCAGTAGGTATCGCTTGATGTCAAGCCTTGTCCGTCTTTTGCTTTTTCACCTTCTTCTTCGTCTTCTTGTCGTCCTTGGCCCCGTCTCGGCGCTTCTTGTCCTTCTTCTTACTGTCACCCTTTTTCGTCTTCTTGTCCTTCTTCTCGTCTTCGTGGTGGAACTGCTTCAGCTTCTTGTAAATGCGTTTAACCTGCTTCGCACGATCCAGCACTGCTTCATTGCCCCGCTTCAGCTTTTCTACTGTCAGCGCTTCATACGCCTGTGTGATCTGCTTGAGTCGCTGAAATACATCGTCGACAAGCTGACCTTTTGAGAACTTACTGCCTTCGACGTAACTCAGGACGTCCTCTTTCAAAAGTCCGCACGCCTTTTCACCCGAGCTTGCAGCCACCTCGCCTGTTACATGCCACAGCGCTGCAAGCGCCAAGTACGACGGATAGTGAAGCAGCGGTAGATCTGTCACCAGCATCTCGTGCAGCACTGTGGTCGACTCTGCGTGGAGTTTCTGCAGCACCGTCGCAGGTAAATCCTTGCTCTGCACTTGCTTGGCAAAAGCCCGGAAATCATCCAGAAAGCCCAAGAGTGCACGGAAGGGGTGGTACATGATCAATTGGAACCGCACGCCTTCTAGCAAGATCATTTCATGGCTAATGATGACGCGATGGTCAACATGGAGGTGCTCGGCGACCGTGTCCACTGAAATGTACTGCTCCTCGACCTTGCCCGCCACGTAAATGACGGTCGGAACGAGGTACTTTGGGTGGAACTCCATCACACTGTTGCTCAGGTAAAACCTCTTGAACAGCATGAGCGCACAGCACTTGACCTTGTCCGACGTCCGAAGGAACTGGGCACTGCAGCTCTCCTGGATCTTCTCCTCATAGAACGTCCGAAGGAGCGTCTCCTGCTCCCGACTCAGGAGCTCCAACACTGGACTCAGCTGCAGCTGCTGCTTCTCCTCGGCCTCTTCTTGGGCGGCAAGGTCCCCGTCCACCGCGTCTTTCCAGTCGAAAGCATCGCGTCTCGAAGTGGACGAGCGCGGCACGAGCGCGGCAAAGGATCGCGCTTGGCGGCTGCTGGGAGCGGGAGCTTCGGGCTTCAGAGACTGTTCACGCTCGAGACGCAGCGTGCGTTTGGTCTTGAGGTGCTGCAGCCGTCGCACGCGCGCGAGCTCGTGGGGGGAGAAGATCCAGTTGTTCAAGTGCGTCGACGTCGAGAGGTACGACATGCTGGTTGGATCGAGGAGGCGGTGAGAAAGCACCGTTTTGTAAAAAGCACTTTGCTTGGATGATGGATGATGATGGGTTGAGGTCGTGGACTCGTGTCGAAAGAAGGAAGAGAGTCGAGGACGGAGTATACGTTTGCGGGGATTGATGTATACGTAAGAAATGACGTTGTTGTGATCGACCTCCGCTTGTGTGAGCGATCTTGCAATGAATGTCGAGTATACGTTTTAGTTTCTCACAACTGAATTTGACAGGGTGTAAGGAGATGTAGAGCCTGAGGAAAGATCAGCACTTTTGTATGGTGCCATCCCGAAGCTTTCCGAAAAGCTTCGACTTTACGGATAAGGAACACGAGATATGGAATTCGGATCCCTGGCATACGAGCGCTGCAGATTCTTACTGCACTTAGTGTCTAGCTCGAACAGATGCAGCGACAGGCTGGCGAAGTAGCTTGACAGTATTTCGTACCACAATGTATGCAGGACGAAAAGGAGCGTGTAGCTGAAACGTGCCGTTATGATTTGACAACAAAGCTCTGGAAGTTCGTGCAGATTCCACCTACTTCCGTAGTGCGGCAAACTCTTGAAAGAGCTTGTGGGCGTCCGCGTTACCAGTAAGGTCATCTCGCGTGGGTTTGCGTCCATTCTTGGTCTCAAAGTCCTCGCGCCACTGCAATAGAGCCTTTTCCGCCCGCGCAAGATTTTCAGCACGTGCCTCACGAACAATCTCCACTGGCACGCCGTCTAACATTGGCTGGCAGAGAACGCTCATAACATCGCGCTTGTCCACTGTGCCATCTGCAAGCTTTGTCATCTACCGACCACGAAAAAAGAAACCGCAAAAGTCGTCAGCGAACCGTTCTCATGCCGTCTGTCCCCTTCTACATTTCAGCAGGTCTTACCTTGACCAGCTTCTGCTCCGTCCTTGGTCCACCAAGTGGAATCAGGAGTCCCCCACCAGGTTTAAGGTACTCTAGAAACCTCTCTGCTTCCGCTTTCGTCTCTACCGCAACCCCAACATGGATACAATCATATTGACTACCAGCTGGCAGACCGAGGTCTTTCTTTCCAGTACTCAGCAAAATCCTCGTCTGCTTTGCCGCAACTTCTTCACCCAAACTACGTTGCAAGTTTTCGATTGCAAACGTCACAAGATCCGGAACAATTTCCACCCCGGTGACCGAACCTAACGGGCCCACTAAGTGCGCCATAGCAGCCATGAGGACCCCCGAACCACACCCCACGTCCACTGCTGTCATTCCTAACCGGAGGTGTGGCTCCAGGGCACCCAGTACTTGGGCGTGGTGCTGGGGAGTCGAAATCGTGGCTTCCGTCCCGATTTTTAGCGGGCGATTCGCATATCGTTCGTTAGAGGTTCGGAAACCGGGTGACACAAAGTCCCCGCGGTCCACCCGTCGGAGCGCGGCTTCCAGTCGTGACCCAGCTGGGACGACATTTGTCCGGACTAAACTGTCCACTAATGCAGCATGGGAGGTGCCGCCTATTTCGTGTCCGATACTAGAGCTCACGAGTAAATCTTCCGAGATTCCGCTTAAAACGCTCACAGAGCGACGATTGCGAAGCCACATCTTTATTTTTATGGAAATCCCGGTAATTTACATACGTACATGTATATTCACGAAGCAACGGTCGAAAATACGTTACGGACTCGATCAAAACAAAGAGGCGAGCCGAGCTTCCCTACGCATAAAATGTACCGAACATTATGGGAAAACAAAAGTCGGTTCGCGCACTTCAACGGGGTGGTATGTGGATTATCGATCGTCGAGTTTACACGATAGGAACAGCCCAGGCGCCGTGGGTCTCCATGTTGTAGATGTTGACACCTCTTTCGGCAAGGAAAAAGCCTTGGTCACCCCAATTGGTGCCGTCGGAATTACGGACAACCCAGTACTTAATGCCCGTCTTGGTGTCAGTACCCCAGCCAACGATACTCACGACATGGGATGTACCAGTGTACTTTGTTGCATCGCGAAGGATGTAGCCTCCTTTGTACTTTCGATACTCAGGAGAGTGAGAGTACATACTGACGACGATGGGACCCCGGTGGTAGACCTCGTTCATAGCCTGAAGCTCAAACTCCTCGGGGGTCGTGAAGTTGAGCGTGCCGTACTCAGAAATACGATACTTGACAGGATCTTCCACTACAAAGCACTCCCCATTTAGAGCACATGTGTGGCACTGCGCCAATGCACAATCGTGACCGCCCATGAACGACGGGTGCGATGCAATGTACGGGCTGCACGTCCAGTCTACGATACCGTTCTCGTGGATCCACTTGTGTGCGTATCGAGGATCTCCACCGTAACACGAGCCAAAAGATTGCATGCCACAGTCCAGTAGCACTTGAGGCGATAGCAGTACTTCCGGTCCAAGTCTGCCAGTTTTTTTGAAGCGTGCGATGCGAATGCGATCCGATAGTGCGCTGATTGTCGCGAAAGCCCAGCAAGATCCACATGCCCGTGGAACCATTTGGTTCAACACAGTAGTCGTGAGGCCGATGCCTGTTCTGTTGTAGTCGCGCCAGTCCCAGTTTGTAGGGAGATCGTCGATTGAGGTCACTTCTGGCAGTGATGTGACGACATGTTCGGGGTCGTTGCCTCCAAGGAACCACCCGGATCCCTTGTTCTTTTGCACTGCGGTAATATCATCCTCACGTTTCCCACATCCGGCGAACGCACCAGTTGCCATCAAGTCGACTTGGTCATTCACTACGTGCATCAACGAGTTACTATTGGAGGAGTCGACAAGTCGTTTTGGCGTCAGAAAGACTGAGCTCACCAAGCTTCCAAGCAGGACCCAACCAATTACAGAGCCAATGGAGCGGAGCTGTGAACGGTTCGCTCGAATACTCGCCCAAGTCGATTGTAGCATTGATGGAGATGTTGAAGTCTGTTGGACATTGAAAGGACTCGTACGTGGCCGTAACAGTGGCAAATCAGGTTTGTCACTGATCCTCATCGTACTGGACTTGGCTGGTAGTCGTTTGTGTGTGATGAGGCAAGTTGAGAAGTGTATTAATCAAAACAATATGCATGCTATTCGCTTTAATGCCCTAGTGCGTCTCCTGTACTAGCAGTTGTACAGCCTACTGTAGCTCTCGGGTGGTGGGCGTTTCGTAACCCCCGGCGCATAAAGAGGTGGGCGTTTCGTAACTCACGAAGCTGGAGTTTCAGAGATGTGAGACGTAACGATTCACAACATTGTGGTAGAACGAGACAAATTGTTGAGCGAAGTGAGCCTAACATTCGGAAGGGACACGAGCTCAACATTCGTTTTCGATCGAGGTAGAGAGTGGCTTGGTAAACACTTGTCGTGACATAACTGACTGGTAAGGAACCCCGCATGCGCTCTAGACCAATCGGCAGAAAAAGAATCGACTTGTCGACCTTTGAAGCGCCAGCCGCTTCGCTATTGTCGTTGTATCATCGTATCCCTCCCCATGTCCCAAGATGCTTTGACGCCATCCAATCGTCAGCCGCAAAAGAGTCGATTCAGCGACCGCATCGATCGTTTCCACATCTTAATTAGCTGCAACACAGCTTTGGTTAAGACAATATTGTGCCATATGTAAACATGTGAAAGTAGTTCAACGCAACGTTTAGTCATACGACGAACTGATCCTGTAACGGGGTAGCCCGTTACATGAAATTGACACTAAACGGTGTCAATAGGAACATTGTCTAGCATGACAATATTCTACCAATATTATCCGAGATGGATAATATTGAAGGAATATTATCCCCGTTTAGATAATGTTCATGCGCTGCTACAAGATTGGTTGATGTAAGACATATCAACCATAGATTGCCACCAATCGCTGCTAGACGCGCGCAATGAGTGGTGAGCAGGTTGTCGTCATACGACGACGTAGTTTCATATAGTCAGATAAAGACCGAAGTTATATTGATAGCTTCACTAAATTAAATACAGTTCTCTTTTTAGCCTTTACTTAAACGAGTAGTTTGAGTTAATTAGCTTCCTCTGCACGTACTAGTGTACGTGAAGTTTCGCGGCACCCCAAACAACGGGTTGCCCGTTCACACCTGGTAGCACTTTCTAGTCCGTCCAACGACAAGTTAGTGTCCGTCCAACATGAACATGTTGGACGTAGAAGATGACAGCTTTCACGTCACACGTAAAGGCTACTCCCATCTGAGTGACTCAGAGTGGGAGGTAGTCGGCCGCGTGAGTGTGCTCAGTGGGCGAACCCGCCATCAATCTATCAACAAGTTCCTACAAGGGGAACTTGCCGTCGAAAGACAGAAGATAGCCTTGCTACAGCAGCAAGGCTCTCATGAGTCGATGGGCGGGTCGACGCACATGCGTCGAACCGAAACCTTGAAGATTGATATCTCAAGGTACAAAGGAACCGATGAAGATTCCCTTTTAAGATGGTTCGTCGAGTTAGACGATGCCATCAGGGCCCGTCACATCGAGGGTGACGAGATGCAAGTCACCTTCGCCCTGTCAAATTTGACGGGACGAGCAAAGACTTGGGCCTTAGGGCTCAAGCTTCACGACCCAAACGTGTTTGAGTCGTTGGAGATCTTGAAGTCTCGGCTTAAAATGACGTTTGAGCCGCCGAGAGCCGAGTTCAGAGCACGCTCTGCACTCTTGAGGCTAATGCAAGGTAAGCGTGACGTGCACGCTTACGCACAGCACCTGCGCTACCTTGCGAGTAGCGTTACGGAGAACCCTGTTGATGAGCACACGCTCATCAACGTGTTCATCTACGGCCTTGTGGATGGGCCGGTGAAGACCTACATGTTCCAAGAGGACTTCCATACGCTGTAAAGGGCGATAGCGTATGCGGAACAAAAAAACTTCAGCCTGAGACAGTCTCAGGATAACTTGTCAAACTATCGTCCGACGAGACGACAGAAAACAGGAAGTCGCGAACCAATGGACCTTCATTACATCGAGAGCGAGAACTCTCGCTCATTGAGTCACAAGTGAACGGCAAGATGCCATCGCTGCCAGAAGATTGAACACTATGCTCATGAGTGTAGTGTCCCGAGCACTGCAACACGTCCAAAGACAGGAAGTGATGACCACCGTTGACCAAGGAAGGGTCCGAGGCGTGGGTCCGACCATGTAGCTAAGCCGCGACAGCAAGTCGGACCGCCAACAAACGGTCAGGGTCAGTAGGGGCGGAGAACCCTCCTGATCCAGCAACGTCAAAGAGAATTTGCAGGACTCTTGACGAATATTGCTCCCAACACGCAGTCTCTGTGTGTTACTGCCCTTAGTGATGAGGAGTCTCTCATCACTTTGAAGATCAAAGTGACAGGTGGAATTTCACTTCACTCCCTAGTTGACTGTGGGGCGTCGAACAGTTTTATTTAACGCCAGTCGCTAAGGGATAGTAGACTGAACTATGTTGAGCGAGAGTTCCCTTCAACGAGGATGACGGTGTGCCTTGCTACAGGCGCATCCGTAACAGTAAACAAACGTGTAGTGGGAATCCACTACACGCTAGAAAGAAAGGAGTACGATGATGACTTCATCGTATTAGATTTGGATGACAAATTTGATGTCATCCTCGGTCTGCCATGGCTTAGTAAGTACCGGTCATAGGTTAGCTGGCAGCATCGATCCGTGAAGATGCCTGCCGTTTGTTCATCGGATGGCCATCTGATGAACGTCTTGGATCGTCCACAAGCGTGTGGATGTACTACGAGTGAGTGTGATGGCCTCACTTGTGGTACGGTCGTTAGCACGACTGCACAACATCACAGTGTAGAAGGCAACTACACTGTGGAACCAGATTCCGGCACCTGTGTAGAGACACAGGCTGCGCCAAAGGTTCACCACTCGAAGAGATCGAGTGGACTGGAACACGGATGCCCACCAAGAAGCTTGCATTCAAGAAGAGAAATTAGTGTGGTTCAGGATAAAAAACACGCTGAAGCAAGATCGACTATCAAAGAGTCGATCGTAGAGCAAGCCCGATAGACTGAAATTGAGTCGATCGAAAAGGACGTGGCCGTGGTAGTAAACCCAAAGTCAGTACACGTATTGGAAGACAGTTATAGGGTTCCTGAGAGTGATAACTTCCGAGAGAGTTATGTTGAGGTTGTGGATCCCCAACCACCTGCGGATGTGTTTTCCCAGAAAATCACCGAGACAGTGAATGTCTTGGTGAATGACAAATCAAGTGTAGGCGCTGATACACTTGATCTGATTACACCCCCGAATTCATCTTTGGAGGTAGTCAAGTTGCCACACTGGAATCTAAAAGATTCTTGCGAGATCTGCGTAGTGACAAGATCAAGCAGATCTGCGTACACGTCACAGAGGACGAGTACGTCGCCGATATTCGGTCGGCACAAGTGTTTGCGGAGAACGGACGGGTTCTCAGTAGCTCATTTATGGACGAGAGTGTCCTCGATGAGAAGACCCGGGTTGAGCGATACACGTCTTAATCTTGAGAGTCTTTGAAGACAAACTCTTTTAGAAAGGATTTGGTCAGATTCAGGGATGTTTTCCCGGAATCCGTGCCATGCGAGCTGCCCAAGGACAAAGGCACTCGGCATGAGATCGAACTGAAACCTGGTTCAAAATACTGTGTCATGAAGCAGTGGCCACTGCCTCGTGAACAGGTCACAGCGATCGACAGATTCGCTGCCGATCGTTTAGTGGTTAGTCATGTAATGGAATCAACATCCCCACACAGCTCTCCGACCTTCTGTGTGCGAAAGGCCACAGGAGGGTGGCGGATAGTGCACGCGCTCAACAAACCGAACGCTGCAACGGTACCGGCTCAAACACCGATCCCAAGAAAGGATGTCATCATAGATGATATGGCAAAAAGTACCATCTTTACATCCATGGATTTGATGGACGGATTCTCATAGATCCTCATGCGTGAACGGGATATCCCTTACACAGCAGTGAGCACCCTAGTAGTATGCTCTGGGACTGGCTAGTGATGCCACAGGGGCTAAGTAATGTCCCCGCAACGTTTAACAGATGTGTTACGAATCTGTTGCGATCGGTGCGCGATTTTGCACCGAGTTACTTCGACGATGTCTTCGTCCATAGCCGGGATATGGATAGAAAGACGGATGTGAAGGTTTACAGATTACACATACGGAAGGTTCTTACTCTAATGCGAGAGCATAAGTCGCTTGCGAACCTCAAGAAGTGTATATTCTCAGCGAACGATATACCATTTCTTGGCTGCATCGTGGGTAAAAACGGTGTACGCCCTGATCCGGAAAAGATCGAGGCGATTAGCGACTGGCCTGTGCCAGTCGACATCAAGGGACTTCGAAGGTTCCTTGGCTTGGCGGCGTACTTGCACAAATACTCGCGCAACTATGCCGAGATTAACGTACATCTCTCTCGTCTACTAACGAAAAACGAGAGGTGGTCATGGAGGGCTGAGTGTCAGCACTCTTCTGAAGGCATCAAGAAAAGCTTGGTGCAATCGACTGTGTTGGCGATTACAGACCAGGATAGACCATTCTATGTGGTCTGTGACGCCAGCGATTTTGCAATCGGCTGCGCGTTAATGCAGTACGACTCAGACGGCGTTGAGCGCGTCGTCTGTTATCAATAGCGTCGGCTGCATGAAGCTGAGCAAAATTATCCGGTGCATGACAAGGAACTCCTTGCCATGAAATATGCACTGGCCAAGTTCGGGTATATCTCTTAGGAGATAGGCCCTTCATCGTTTATACCGACCATGCGTCATTACGCACGGCCGTTAACAGTCCACACCTCTCGCAACGAATGGCGAGGTAGCTGTCTTTCTTCGCGGAGTACAGCTTCTACGTCGAGTAAAAATCAGGACGACTTAATGTCGTCGCTGATGCTCTTTCACGTCGGCCCAATTTCGAACCGACTGCTCAACCCAACAGTAGGGGTGATCCCACTATTGCATCACTATCAGTGAGTGTTCCGTCGTCGAATCTGCTCGACGACGTGCGGAAAGCATACGCAGAAGATGAGTTTCTTCTGCGATTGATGGATTACGTATCTAATCCGTGCAGTCAAGCTTTGAAAAGCTTGTCGTCTCAATACCGCTCTTCAACAGAACGGTATTCTGTTCGTGATGGACTGCTGTACTATACATCAGTCAACGGCGACACAGCTCGTGTCGTCGTTCCGGCTCATAATGATTTGCGATTACGCATCATGCATGAGTGTCACGATGCCCCGACAAGTGGGCATCGCGGTAGAGAAAAGACTTACCTCATGGTGAGTCGTGACTTCTACTGGCCCCACCAGTATGAGTTTGTGCGCAAATAAATTCGAGCTTGCGAAGTTTGCCAACGGGTGAAGCCTAGTCCTTCATCCCCCCCCCTTTAAGCCTCTTCCAATTCCGGCAGAGTGTTGGCAGTCCGTATCGATGGACTTCGTCTTCGGGTTTTCCAAAGAAGCTCACAAGAATACTGGTATTCTTGTGCTTGTTGATCGGTTCAGCAAGATGGTACATCTTGTTGCTGTACCGGAGTCAATCACAGCCCAGGGCTGTGTGCGTGTCTTCATCGATACTATCTTCCGACTTCACGGGTTACCCCGTGAACCCGTGTCTGATAGGGATCCCCGCTTCACAGCGGGGTTCTGGCAATCCGTGTTCCGTTCACTTACAAACACGTTTGACGATGTCGACTTCTGACCATCCAGAAACAGATGGTCAGACGGAACGCGTCAACCGCGTCCTCAAAGAGATGCTTCGAGAGTATGTCCACTCCTTTACGAGCTGGAGTGAGTTCTTGCCGATGGCGGAATTCGCCATCAACAACTCGGTGCACGCGTCGACAACGCATACACCGTTCTTCGTGAATGGCCTACGCCATCCACGTTTACCCGCCTTCTTAGAGTGTGACTCTAGTTTGAGGGGGGGGTGGAATCGCTCGAACAAAACCGATCTGGTTCTTGATCATCACCCGTCGACAAAAATGTAGACGTGATGGATGCCGATGTCCGTGCGATCGATATCGATGATAATGATGACGACGATGCTGGTGTATTCAGCATCGCCAATGACTGCCAAAGTGAGGTCGATGACACCCTTACTGGTGAAGATAACGTTCTTTCAGCAGTGCACACGAAGCGCACTGCTGTTGACAAGGATAAATCAGCAGAGGAGTTTCTGCTGACGCGCGAAGCGGTTATCCACTTCGTTCAAGACTCTATTACAGATGCACTATACAGGCAAAAACGAAACGCATAAAAAGATGGAAGAACAAATGCTCTTTCATTTGATAAAGGAGACCTCGATTTACTGTCACAGCAAACCTACCAAAACACGCAATGACAAATGTGGACAGCAGTAAATTACTGCCCAAGTATATCGGTCCATTTCGTGTGTTGCGCCATATGGGCACCGCATACACGATTGAACTGCCTTGGAGGATGCGCACGCATCCTAAATGTTACGTTGGACTTCTCCGCTCGTACTATCAGTACGAGCTTGTTTCGAGATGCGAAGAATACCTCCGCGGTCGAGGGACGAGACCACCTTCGAGTGGTCCCTTTTCATCAAGAGCCAGTCTGGTCGAACAGCGAAGCGACCTGCTAACGCAGCTGAGCGATGTTTTGACGAGATGCAATCAGTTCGTCACGAAGAGAACAAACCGAACGTTCGTTCTCAAGTTGCGCAAACGCAAACGCGGCACGATCGTTCGAACGATCGAGCGTTAAGGGATCGTAATCATCCCTTACAAGATCATGGAATTCATAATGTCGAGTCCGTTCATGAGCCATGTAATCGTGTAACTGTTCCGTTACACGGTTCAGTTCCTGAACATCAAGCTGATCCGACCCTCGAGCCGGATCAGGTGTTCCCGCCCACACCAAATCCTTTGGTGGACTCAGGCGGTGGTCAACGCTTTCTGGTGAAGTGTATTTTGAGCCACCGCGACATGAATGGCGTCCGGACGAGTTAACACGTCCGCTGGCGTGGCTATCACCGGCCGGCTTGAGACAGCTGGGAGCCTCGTGCTCAGCTGATTGTTGATGTCCTTGGTCGTGTCGAGCAATATGACGAGACCCACCTGCTGCATTCGAAGAAGGGCCGCCGGAAAACGACCTCCCCGAACGCGAGTACAGGGATTGCAAAGCGTCAATCCCTTTGGCCATCTCCGAAGAGATGCTCACCCTCCAGTATGGAACATTAGGGAGGAAGGCCTCTCTAGGGGCACGATTCGCATTGTCCAGGCACCCTGGACATGTATCTCCCCACTTGATACAGGGCAACCCTGTCTCTCTTGACAGTCAGTACAACTTGTATCGTACACACACTGGGTTAAGCTTCTCAAATCTGATGCGAGCTGCATCGAGTTTACCGAGCTAGGCCTCACGGCCAATACACTCGATGTTATGGATGAAGGCATTCCATCGTTGCACCAAGGCTTTGCCGTCTCGAACACGTCTGCCGTTGTACCACCAATGTTTGGAAACACACCGTTGTAAAACTCTTTCTCAGCACGGATAGTTTCCGTGCTGAAATTAAGAGAAAAGATCTCCCTAAAGTCGAACAACGGGATTTGATTCCGTTCGGTATTCATGCCGGCCACTTGATCTAACCCTTTCGATGACGGCATCCAAGAAGACTCCACTTGAGGTGCGTAGCGCAGGACATTTTGGTCCCTGACCTCTTGAGTGGTACCAGCATGAGCACTAGCATCAGTGTTACCCTGATCCCTCGAATAACTCCACTCGTGGTGATGTATAGGTGCATCACCACCATCCCCACGCGTCCTATCGTTGGATGGACTTGCGTGAGGCGGAGATTCATTGGAATAATCATTCGATCCAAAGATCTCGGATATGATACCGCCAAGTTGACCAGAGCCAGTCAACGTGGCTCCTGCAGTGTCCGCCCCGGGTGATCCGGAGGCGTGAGGAGTCGCCTTGGAGTCGGGTGCATCATCCGACTCGCCAGAATAGATGAGCTCTATCTCAGACTCGTCTTGATTACGACTCGTGGTACCCGCTGCAGACGCAAGGGATGTACCTGACGCACGTGGTGAGTCACCACGTGAAAGATTCACAACAACAGGCGATGAATCACCTGCTGCTGAGTTGTGAAAGGCACTTTCCGCGGCTGCACGCATGCGTGCAGCCGCCCTTCTTGCTGCTGCAGTAGCAGCTCGCGTGGTTTTTGAAACCATGCGTTGGATTGGCAAATGAATGGAATTTAACCAACAAGTGCTCCCTTTTCCAGAGTGACCCAACGGTGGTCACCCTATCCCGATCAATAATAATTCAGTCAACGGATGATTGATGGTTAAGGGGGTGGTGATGTAACGGGGTAGCCCGTTACATGAAATTGACACCAAATGTTGTCAACAGGAACATTGTCTAGCATGACAATATTCTACCAATATTATCCGAGATGGATGATGTTGAAGGAATATTATCCCCTTTAGATAATATTCACGCGCTGCTACAAGATTGGTTGATATAAGACAAATCAACCATAGGTTGCCACCAATCGCTGCTAGACGCGCGCAATGAGTGGTGAGCAGGTTGTCGTCATACGACGACGTAGTTTAATATAGTTAGATAAAGACTGAGGTTATATTGATAGCTTAACTAAATTAAATACAGCTCTCTTTTTACCTTTACTTAAACAAGTTGTTTGAGTAAATTAGCTTCCACTGCACGTACTAGTGTACGTGAAGTTTTGTGGCACCCAGACAAAGGGTGCCCCGTTACAGTAGGGTCTTACACTCATTGCGTTATGATACCAAAAATAGACGAAGTTAATCAACTGCAATGATGACCAAAAGGACGCGTGACGACTTCTTTGTAGCTATTTCTACTTTAGAGCCGGTAAATACGAAGAAAGGAAGGGGTGTTGATGTATTGTGGCTGGGTATGCGCAAAGCATATCTTTTAGCTTGAAAATGCATTGGTAGATCTCAACTAGAATCGAGGTCGTGTTTGAATACTGTGCGAAATTTTGCCAACTCATGGACTCATATCCTGCATGGCAACACTACCGTTGCTGGCGTTGCTTCAATGAGATCTTATTCCGTGTAGAGCATGTACGCTACTGTACACGTGTTGCATGCAACGACAACGCAATCCTACTCAATGGCCTCTTTATGGTCGAAAATCCTGGTAGATCAACGTATCGTTGTTCTACTACACCTGATATTTGCATACACGTCTCCGTTACAGACTTCAGTGCCTTATGCACTTACAGTCACACTACTTATGATGGAAGTCATGACCACACTCATTGCCATCGCTTCAAATGAAATTAATTGTCGCCATGCTCAGCCACAAATTGCGCACCAAACACAACCAAAGACACAGGATGAAACGGGGCACCCTTTGTCTTGGGTTGCTGCGAAACTTCACGTGCACTGGTACGTGCAGAGGAAGCTTATCTACTTAAACGACTCGTTTAAGTAAAGGTAAAAAGAGAGCTGTTAAATTTAGTTAAGCTATCAATATAACTTCGGTCTTTATCTAACTATATTAAACTACGTCGTCGTATGACGACAACCTGCTCACCACTCATTGCGCGCGTCTAGCAGCGATTGGTGGCAACCTATGGTTGATATGTCTTACATCAACCAATCTTGTAGCAGCGCGTGAATATTATCTAAAAGGGATAATATTCCTTCAATATAATCCATCTCGGATAATATTGGTAGAATTTTGTCATGCTAGACAATGTTCCTGTTGACAACGTTTGGTGACAATTTCATGTAACGGGCTACCCCGTTGCACCTTTGGAGTGTCAGTAGTTACTTTATTGTTTACACTCGGCAGACTATTCTTGCGATACGCTGCACCGAGATATAGCCTGCAAGAAAACTGCCAATGTCGTATATAGAGAGTATGTACCGTCGTTACAAAAAATGTACGGTTGGCAGACGTCGATACATGATACAATTAGATCACGTAGCATCTTTGTACTGGTAGTGTCGATGGCCTCTTATTCAGGAAGAACCCACGGATTTATGCATGACTCATTATACGACTCCCCACTATGACTGTGTGTTGTTTACGAAAGAAAAAATCATCACTAAAGCATGAGTCTAAATCTGTCAAATCGCCTATAACCCCTAAATGCACCCTTGGTGATGGTCATCCTGCGTCGTCGAGATCAGCAAGCACGCATTTGATACAATTTCCTTCTCGTAATAAGACCAGCTTTTTTCAATTATTGGACTCTCTCGATAGCTGCAGGTATCCTGTGCTGTGGTAGAGATTACCTACATAGTCTATGTTTGTTGGAAGTGCATGATGCACTGGTTTCGACTCCAGAGATTCGACCCATGATAGGGTACGTGTAGAATGTTCTTTAAAGTTCTATGCATTTTAATAGGTCGTATACAGCTAGATGTATGGATAGTTCTCACTTGTAGATTGACAAACCACTGATGAGGCCCCCGGCGAGGGGCCGAAACGCGTCTGGTGCGCGGTAATATGCAAGTCGTTTATTTTACTTAACTCCTACTTCTTACAATATTTATAGTACAAGCATGACTACGGACTTCGACCTGTCGGTAGAGAGAGCTCCACTCGGCAAGCAGAGACGGACAAATAAGATGGCGCGCGCAGCAGGTGTGGATCTGTAACGGGGCACCCTTTGTCTTGGGGTGCCGCGAAACTTCACGTACACTAGTACGTGCAGAGGAAGCTTATCTACTTAAACGACTCGTTTAAGTAAAGGCTAAAAAGAGAACTGTATTTAATTTAGTTAAGCTATCAATATAACTTCGGTCTTTATCTGACTATATTAAACTACGTCGTCGTATGACGACAACTGCTCACCACTCATTGCGCGCGTCTAGCAGCGATTGGTGGCAACCTATGGTTGATATGTCTTACATCAACCAATCTTGTAGCAGCGCGTGAATATTATCTAAACGGGGATAATATTCCTTCAATACTATCCATCTCAGATAATATTGGTAGAATATTGTCATGCTAGACAATGTTCCTGTTGACACCGTTTGGTGTCAATTTCATGTAACGGGCTACCCCGTTACACACAGGATGACAGCGATGGTCTGGTCAAGGTCAGGAAAATCACGATTATTCGCAGGACGTCTCAATGGATGCTACTATTGAAATATATCTGCCGTGCTGACCCTGCTCGGGCTATCAAGTACACGGTTGTGGAGCTTCTGGCATCTGGCGGTTTAAAAAATAACATGGACGTCGGTGTCAGCGATGAGATGGGAGATACCTTTACCCATTCTGATTCGAGCGCCTCACGGGAGCTGCTACGACTAAATCCAACCGTTGTTCGTACCGGAGCCTGTCAAGAATTCTAGTATACTTCGATACCATAGACATATCCAGATGCACGCCGAAGGTGAACAGGGATAGTCTTTGTGTCAGGGGCGGATTAATGATCCAGTGATTCTAAAGACTGTCAACGGATACGGTGAAGACATTCTAGAAAGCCCAGGATTTAACGTCATGCATGGGCGACTTGGATACCTAAAACAACTCCAGCGTGTGATAATCTGCTGTACACCTGCAACCACCACGAAGCCAATGCATATGAGAGATGACGAAGTGAGCATGTGAGCAGCAGCACGTATCCACACCATTGGTGTGTACTGTATGACAAACGGTTCGTCTAGAAGTCACTTGCAAGCAAAATCTTACCAGTTTCAAGCTGGAGGCGCAGCAGTGAGAGCATCCCCGCTGATCTTTGCAATGCAGTCAAACTCACGCACACGGTCGAGGTAAGCCATTGCAGCTGTATGACACCACGCCTTGAGCTGGAAGGTGCCTTCGAAGAAAGCGCAATGACTGCCCTCCGCTGTGGTCAACAGCATGGCCTCGGGTTTGTTGGGAAAGAAGTCGAAGGGGATCGTTTCTTTTGTGCACACAGGATCATCCAGCGCATTAATGCAGAGCAATGGCACCTGAATATTGTCCACGTCGCGCATCGGGTTGTTCGCCTTCCAGTACGACTCCAAGTCTTCGTACCCGTGCATCTTCATGTACACGTGTTGATCAAACTCCCGAATGCTCGAAGCTCGTAGAGCCCCCGCGACATCCACAACGTCACTTAGCTCCTTCTTGTGCCGCAGTAGAAAGGACTTGAGCGTAAACGTCATGAGGAAATTGTAGAACGGATTGATCTTGCCACCGCAAAGCAGGTCGAAAGCATTGTAACCGGGTGAGACCAGCACGCCAGCACGAAGGCGCGACTTGTCACCTCGTTCACCCAAGTAGCTGCAGAGTAAACCAGATCCTGCCGAATAACCAATGCCGTACAGCTTGCTTTCTGGAAAGCTGCTCTCAATGTGAGCAATAGCTTCTTTTAGGTCCTGGACACAGCCGAATTGTTGCAACTTTGGAGTGGCAAGTTTCAACCCGCCGTGACCTCTTTTGTTGAACACCACGGGGCGATATCCATGCAGTAAAGCTTCGGCACATATCGATCGCATGCTCTCACTGCAACCTACGAGTCCATGCAGGATGACAGCAATGGGCGAGTTTGGTTTCAATGGAGTCTTCATCTTGATTGAAGACTCCAATGCCCAGTCGAGACAGGCCTGACCTCCATCTTTGAGAACGAGCACTTGTCTCTGATACTTGACGGGGGATTGAGGCACGATGAATGTCAATAAACACTGGATGTGTGAATTGGTCCACCATGTGGGAGTGTAGCTGTCCAGCACGGGCTCCAGCGTCTACGCACATAAGTAGCCATCATTACGGTGAGATCAACCCGACTTACTTCGAAAAGTTGCCATGCGCTACTTACTTCAACCACAAACTCGTTCAGCTTCGAGTCGCCAGCAATAATGCGTTTTGTTGGTACCGGTTCAGATCCGACGATACCGGTATACACCAGGACCGCATACCCAACAGCTACTGTAGCAGATGCGGATATCAGCATGGTTGTGCTACATTAGATCCATAACGAACAGTGTCGTTAATACATGTTACACACGAGTGGACGACGTTGAGCAATGTCGGAGGGATCTTCCATTACCGTGTAGAAAGACGAGAGTATCGGTAAACATACTCGTTCACGGTAGCCAAGGGATTCAGCATGCTTAACTCCCTTACACCAGAAGAGGGCGGTGATGACCCCTTTTGTGTCGCGGTGGAAAAATACGGACTGCTCGATTGGTCAAGGATCGATACGTGTGCATAGTGAACGCAGGAGAAAAGAGCCGCGAACTCAGATTTTATCAATCAAGTCGACGTCTTTTCTTTATTTTTGGCCTCTTTAATCGATCGATGAACTATCGACTCTGACCAATCGATGCCGTGGGTGCAAAATCTGACACTTGTTTGATTTGACTTGTCAAGCGTGTTGGTACCGCCTGTGAGCTGTTGCATGAAGCAATTGGTCATGCCGCCGCTTTATCTTACGAAAATCAATTGAAGTAGCTCTTAGTAAGAAGGATGTAAAAATTGTATTGATAAGTGTACCAACAAAAACACAGCGGCAAAGATATTTGGTAATGAATTTGCCGTTGACAATTCGGGGTACGTCTTCAAACTCGTATCATTGGGATAGAAAACAGACTGAGGAGTGTCTGCAAATGGTTGACACGAAGAAGACTGCATGGAGTACGACGATCTCGGGTTGTTGTAGACAAGTCTTTAGCAATAGAGCGCGACTGAGTTGACTGGACCTGACGGGTTTCACAACTATTACGATGAGCGTTACGCGTACGCGTCTATGACGGGTAATGACGTCACGACGATATGCACCGATTCTCGAAAGTGTCTCGTTGTTGGCTATGACATTGATCCGTGTAAGGTGCTTGCTGGAAAGTTGAGTATCGAGATGATGAACGCTGTCGAGGCGAGGGCTTCATGTGTGTATTTCAATAGAAGCGAAGATGCTACTTTTCCAGCTACCTTGGTAATGAACGCCACTACTTCGATAGCTCTATTGATGACGCATTGTGGACCATGTAATATAGGCAAGAAGAGCAAGGGCTATGTGCGTGCCAGCAAACGCTGCCACGAAGCCACCCACCCTCAAGAATACTCACTCACATCTGATACATTTCGCCGCCCTAGGTTTGCATAATACAGCTATGGTTCAACTACTTCCTTTATTTATTCGTGACGGTTGGCAATGTATACGAGCACTGCCGATTCGTAGCTGCAAGGTTCAAAAGCGAAAGCTTACATCAGGCTACCGGTTTTACTCCAGGCAGCTTGCGTGCTAGTTGTGCAACAAGCCGTTCCATGTGCTAAATCCTGAACTTCCCAACCACCAATTTTCATTGACCCTTAAAAAGGGGTTACACACATCGTAGGGTACTCGGTCCCATGGGTCTTAAACACACGGGATGGTATCCCACTGAAAGAGATATAGAATATCGTATCGGTTTATACGGGCTGATGGGTGTCAGCCACAAGATAAGAAAGATCTTAAAGATGCTAATTTAGGACATGAGTGCTTCGATTAGGTAATGTCAGAATTGAGATATTCTATAGAGTTAAATGTAAATAAAGTTCAGTTTCCTTTTGATCTTGTCAAAGACACGTGCCTTGCGAGGCGTCTCTGATTGTAGATCGTTGAGAGTTAGCAACACCTCCCTCAGGTAGCTACTCTTGAGCGCTACGTGCTGTGTAGATTCGCTTAATCGTTCGGTCCCCTGGAACGGGGACAATAAGCTTTACGCTTGTTGACGTATAGAGTCTAGTTCTATGAAACTAAGTATTGCTCCTCGAACAAAAAGTCTTCCTCTAACTTGAGGAGATGTGCAGCTTCGCTACACTTGGTAGCACTTGAAGTCAATCTATGCCTGAGTCTTCACAGACTGATCCTCTGTGAGGATGGAAAAACCTACTACCCTCTATGAGGCCCAAAAGGTCGCGCTTGATAAGCTGACTGCATCTTGGGTCCAGAGTATGTGGAATTTCTTGTACCGCAAGGCCGGAGGTGCTGACTACACGTGATGAGGGTTCTGGCAGTATGAATTGTCTATTCTAGGACAGGTCCAAGACCAAATGGCTTCAGCTGTTTCTACGCGCTATGTGTCTGTTCCAGACAAAGAGCCTAGGCCTCGTCAGCTTAAAGTGGAAATTAAAAACCACGCAGGAAAGGAGGGTGAAATCTCATCCACTTGACCTGTGAGGTTAGATGGCCATGAGATCAGGTCTAATCTAGATTGAACACCAACAGGTATCGCCGGCTATCTCAAAGCTCGATGGAAGAGCTTGAGAATGGGCCTTGTCGTGTAGCACGTTGTTTGACGTAGCGTTTCCCACATGGGATTCGCTTAAGCCACAATAGGTACAAGTGTTTTCACCACCAGACAGGTTTACCGCGCGCGTTCACGCTTTTTTTTAACCCTTCAGGGTAAGAATGAGTTAACGGAGTGTGCCCAAGAGCTGAAAACGCTCATGGCTGCTATGCAGTCTGACCCTCTGCCTGAGGCAGTTTGTGTAACTATACTAATGGAGGTCTCCGTACTGGCCTTTCCAGAACCGAGGTCTTTCGAGTTCACCCATCCACATTCGAAGAGGCTGAGAGAATTGCTCTTAATGCTGAGCATTCCTTCAAATCGTCCAGACTTGGCTAGAATGGGTACAATCCTAGCTCTGCAAGAGCAAACTCCACAAATAATCCGGCCGTTAATAGGCCGGAACCGATGGATATCAGCTATACTGAAGATGAAGGTGAAGTTGAGCTTCAAGCTGCCGAGAAGCAACGTGTTGTACAAAGGTGTTTTACGTGCGGAAGCACCAAACACTTACGGCCTGTTTGCCCTTTGCGTAGACAGCGCCAGGCTACGAGTCAACACTCTACTCCGAGCTAGAAGTCTGGTGGCACGGGGAACGTCGACGCCCAGTAGGCGCGGGGCTCCCTACTGGAGAATAATTAGAGTCTGTAACACCTTTAGGAGGTAAAGTTAAACAGGGCTTAGCCCCAAAGAGCTCCATACCTATTGGTATGGAGTGTGGATACAAGTCTGGCTTGGTGGTCGCTGAGACGAGAGCCAACCGCTTTAAAATGCCTTGGTCTATTTTAATCGATTCTGGGGCGTCTTGCAATTACGCTTGACGTTGACCTCCTTAAAAGAAGTCAACGTTACTCTGAAACACTTACATCACATGAGGGCAATTTATTCACGCTTCGTTTAGCGACTGGAAGTCGCGTCACTGTATAAAAAGCTCCATTAAACTTAGGTTTATAGTTTTTAGACTTTGATAGTTTTTGACCGCTGTCTTGTCCTTAAGCTGGACTCGAGATTTGACCTCGTCCTAGGTATGGTTTGACTCAAACGACATGGTCCATGTATTGATTGGAGGTCTCAGTACTTAGGCGATACGCACATGTTTAAGACGAACTTTGGAGAGTCATGAACCTACCTTTGCTAGGCCAGAAAAAGCACTGTTGGCGCGAGTCTTTGACAGAATCTGTCAATGTGCTGGACATTAAAATGTCTGCGTTAACTAACTTCAATGTTGAAGCATGAATTCTCTGCGTAGATCGTTGAGTAATAGTGATACGGCACGTACTCTGTTGAGTGTAAATCGTTGTAATACCGAGTCACTGCATGCTGAAATCATGGTTGGCCTAGGGCCAAATTATCAAGGATGTGAGTCCTTTGAATTTAATATGATGGCACGTGAAAATGCACCGCGTGCGGTCGGTCGTGAAGGCACCACACTTCATGTCAGTAATAACATCGTTAGCGAAACGCCATTTAGGGATAGGCCCGTATGATGTAAGTGAAGTGGCACGTTTAATTTCACCGGTTGAAGCGTTCAAGTCACGTAACACTTCACCGGATGTCGATCAAGACATCAGCTCTCGTATTGAGCGTACTACTAGTAGTAACCACGAGGAACTATTTCCTCGACACTAGAAGGGTGTAAGGTCTCACTGAAGGAAAGACCTTGACGCCAGGTGGCAACTGTTAGGCACCAGGCATTCGAACAATCACATAGTGACAATAGTGAATTATGTTATACACTTGTCAACGGAAAGACTGGCCAGATTAAGGGCAATGTTAGCATGGAAACCCTTCCATCTTTGGATGCGTTTTGAGAGCTAGAAGAATTGTCTGATTGAGAGTTTATCCAGACCTTGAGGACAGGATATTTGTCCGACACTCGTCATCTGAACCGTTGTCGAGTTGAACTTGTTCTCATGAATGGATGAGTCGGTCCTAGAGGACACCAAGGCGGCACTCTGTGCCCAGAGGGGATCTTCGATCCTTGAAGATGCTTTGGATGCATTTTGTTTTATAATAAAAAAAATTTAAAATGCAGTGTGTCACAACCCACCATCTGTCTTACCTCCCGATAGAGGTGTACGTCATAAAATTGACCTAGTTCCAAAATCTTAATACTACGTAACACGGCAGTGGCCTTTACCGAAAGAACAATATGTTAACATTGTCAATTCTTTTGTGCAAAGCACGTGGCCGAAATTGTGCGTGAGGGTGAATTTCCCCATGTCACGCCAAAATTTTGTGTCAGGAAGCCAAATGGTAAGTGGCGCATTGTCCATGCTTGTAATAAGCTTGATACTGCCACTATCCCGGCTCAGACACCAATCCCTAGAAAAAAGGTTCTTTAGATCAATACGGTGGGATGTAAATTGTACAGTGCGCTCGCCTTATTCGTCGATTATTACCAGCTGCTCATGCAAGCAAGATACATTCCGCTTAGAGATGTTAATAATCCAGCGGTATGCTCTGGGAGTGGCTCGTTATGCCACAAGGGCTGTCAAATGCCCCAGCTACTTTTAACCGTCTTGAGAAGCAACTATTTAGATCTCACCGAGGCTATGCACAAACGCACTTTGTTGGCATCTTTGTCCATAGTCGTGCAACGGACGGTCGATCTGTTGTGGATAATCACATTGATCATTTACGAGCGGTATTCTAATGCATGCGCACGCATTAATTGTAAGTGAATGCGTCCAAGTGTATATTTGGTGCAGAAGAGATTCCCTTCTGGGGCACTTCATTGGGAGGCGAGGCCTTCGAGCGGACCCCGCTAATGTAAGGGTCAAAGTTGATTGGTTCCACATTTCCAAAAAGACCTACGTAAGTGAATTGGCCTTGCCAATT